CGGCTATAAGCCAGCCACAAATGCCAGTCGGCAATTACCCAGATATAGGGGGTTCTGGAAAAGGAGCTCCTCCATCTTCAGGGTTCTGCCACTGACATCTTCGCCCACCCATTTTGAATGTAACCAATTTGGGAGCTATAAAAATGTCTGCAGCAAAACAAAACACCGAAAAATGAAGCAGAAAGGAATCTTTGGTATTGTTGTCTAGTGCAGCGGTCAGAGTTAACTGGGTTCAACGGGTCGTATGCGTAATCAATTGTTGCAGCTGCGTCACGTTCTTCGAGAGATAGCCGCAAATAAGTGAGCCCCGAGATCTTTCTGGGCTCCCCCACTGCTGCGATTTACTTAATCGAGTTTTGGACACATTTTCAGGTCAGTTGCCAGTTGGCAGCTGCCTTTGTGCTCGATATTCTATTGATTGCCAGCCAAGAGAACCGAAAAATGATACAAATAACAATAATAAACAAAGTGGCATTTCCATTTGCCAAAATGAATTGCTTGCATGCACGTAATTTTCCGAGAAATGAGAGGGAAATGGGGAAAAACGGACAGAAAAAGTTTTAAAACGAATCAAGGGTCAAGATTTTGGGCATTAATTACTTTTGGGGAACTGCAAACAAAGAGTCAGAAAACGATTTCAGACACATTTCGGTCGCCAGACAATTGACCCAAACTGCCAATAAAATTGAGTAGCATGAAATGTAAATAAGAAGCCTTCTCTCTTTCTGGCTAATAGCCCGATTATGACTGCGATGACGTTGCCCATTTGCACCGCACAAAGTCGAGGAGAATGTAATGAGAAAGCCATAAAATAAACAGTTGAATAATCGCCAATAATGAGAGCTGCCAGCGAGTTGTACCCATCACTCCCTGGGGCCATCTTAAAGATACACGAAATCGATTCGACAGCAATAACATCGCAAAATACATGTGAGCTCTTAACAATGGGCCAAACAGAAGAGCTACGAGATCAAAGCGATCAAAAGTGCCCCGATCAGTGGGATAAAGCCGCAAAATAATCGGGTGGAAGGTGTGAACTTTCGTGTGGCCTCTGCTTTGATTGGGGAAAATCATAGTGATAATTGTCTGGCAGGTCTAAAAAAAGATCCACATTTTTTGTCAGTTTATGGGATGAAGATGTTTATATATTCGGAATATTTCAATAATTGATTTATATTCAGGCAATTATTTAGAAAAAGTATTTGTTTTTGAAAATTCGGAATATTTAAATAATTGATGTATATTCTGGCAATTATTTAGAAAAAGTATTTGTTTTTTGCTCTGCAAGCATTGCCTTGAAATTATTAAACAATTCTGAAAATACCACCCTATTGCTCAACTTAAATAGTTAATTGTTTGGCAGGTCTAAAAAAAGATCCACTTCTCTGCATGACTGAAAATATTTAAATTAAATTATACAATAACATTTGAATTTGTAATAAAAATGCGGAATATTTAAATTAATGATTTATATTGAGCCGATTATTTAGAATATATATTTGTTGCCTGCTCTACAAAGCATTGCCTTGGAATTATTGAAATTCTTGAAAATACCTTGCTAATACTATTTAATTAGTTAAATTTCATACTCATCAGCCACGTTTCTCCTTTGGCGATTTAGTAGAAAATTGATTTTCTCCTTAAACAGAAATCACATTTAATTATTTTGCTCTTAAAACAGATTCGAGCGCGCCAAAAAATTAAATAAATTATGCAACAGCTGTCATTAATAAAGTCGAGCGAGAAAAAGCCAAAAGCAACAAAAAATCGAAAATATCCCACAATGAATCAAGGTCAGTGTGAAACAGCATAAATGCAACAGCAACAGTTTCAGCAACAACAGCGGCAAATTGAAGTTGCATTTTGTGTTGAAAATCCAGTTTTGTATTTGGTGAGGTGCACTTGTAAAAAACACACAGCCAGTGATATACGAAAAACGCACTCACATTCGAGTGACTATTGACTTCTTTTACATTTCAAGTGAGCCAAAATTGATTAAATCGAGTCCCGCCAGTTTGCATCTCAGGTTGAGCGTTTGCCGGCGCTCTGTTTTTGGGGAAATATAAATTCACTCCATGTCAAAATCAATTTTCAACAAGAAAATTAAACTCTTGCCATATCGGGTTTCATATTTTTCATATTTCCCACCGACGTGCTCACACTCACATCCACAGATCGGTTTTTCTTTTTTGGGGCGTGTCAGTGTGTCTGGGTTCTTGTAATTAATCGCTGCGAATGCAAAAATTTATGAGATTTTCATGAATTTTTGAAGCCTTCTGCAGAGTTATGTGGGCTGACCGCGGATTGGCATTGAAGTGCGTGGAAAATCGAAAAACACTCACGGTGACTATGTGCCAACTGACCATATATCAATTAAAGTCTCAGTCACAACAAGAATCGTGTGACAATTAAATCCGCAAAATACCGAAACGATTGACTTGGCAATCGTTCAACTGTGAAAATTTGCATGGCTCAGCGAAAATTGCGATAAACCGCTTTAACGATTATGTGATAAACACCGAGATTGATCTGTCACAATACCCAGTCAATGTCAACTAATCAGCCGGCTGACTAATAGCGATATAATTAGTTAATTAAGACCTGTCCGAACAGCGTAGAAATTGGGGATTGAAGTGGACGCGATTGGAAATTCCAAACCCAAAAGCAATTAGCAAGCATAAATGGGTAGTTCATTCAGAAAAAAAGGTTAATCCCTTAAAAATAAACATATATATAAATATTATTTTCTTGAAAAAGGTCGCATTTTAAAGTGTATACTTCTAAAATTGTAGCTTAGGTTCCATTTATGTACATTAAGTCATAAGGAAAGGTTGTTGATATGCAAACAACTTCCAGAAACACTTATAGTATCAAAGATTTTTGGCTACCCCCTTAAGATTTATAAAAAACAATTTAAGCAGCCTGCCAATTTTCGGGCAAACAATCTCAATCTGGAAAACGTGTGTTTGCATTTGTCTGCCTTTGGTTTTGATTTTGTTCCCAGCTATTTTCTTTTTATATTTTGTTTTGCCTTACCTTTTTCTTCACACCCAACTCTGCGGGTAAATATTTGAATTTTCCCATTCGTTTACAGATGGTTTAAAGTTTTCGGTTGGCAAGGGTAGAAAGTTTACTCAAAATATGTGTTGCTAGGGGAGAATAAAAGCTTGGAAAGCTAAGAAAAACAAAACAATTTTTATGTTCTATAGACTGCCATTAATGCATAACAGATTCCTTTTTTTTAATAATTTTATTAACCTTTTCAATGTTTACATAGTCATTTTCATCACCTTGTCGCCGAGCTGCACAAACTCTTTCAAATTCGCATAAAAGATACTAAATATCCAATCGTTTATAATCGACATTCATAGTAAATAAATAACCATCGATGTTTGTTTACAATTAGAAAAGGCGAGAAGAGCGAACAGATTATTATTCATGAATGGAAATGGGCAGGGCCATAAAATACTCCCCAGATTCGATTAGAGGCAATTGAAATCATCGCCGTCATCGTTTGCGGTATTTTTCGTGCTATTTTCATACCTCAACTTATGGACTGAAAGGGGTCTACTGATTTTTGGTTTCATTTGTAACATTTGTTGCATTTTTAAATATTAATTAGAACCAAACAATTTTTGATATTAAATTTTGTGAGGAGAGGTAGTTGAGCATTCGAGCTAATATTCATTTGGAAAAATTAAACTTTTTCTAAGAACTTCATTCTTTGTCAAGTTTTAAAGTTAATACATGTACAAGTAAAATTTTTTAGTTTAATTATTTATCGTCAGAACTTATAATATTATATAATATTATTATATATTATTATAATATGTGGAAGGTACGATCGTCACCAATTTCTACCTCTTTATAAAGCGATTTTGTTGTTTTGAATTTTGTTGTATAGTAAAACTTTTATGTGCTCTTTTACTCGCTTACTTAAATAAGTAATTTTAAAATTTCATTAAAACCAAAATCATGTAGCAACAAATCAGAACAGAAAGATAAATAGAAGATATATTATAGGTTAAGATTACAGGTATCTTAAAGTCTATATTGGCAGTACTTTCCGCGTCTTTTCAAATACTTTTGCCTTATCCACGGGCTACGTTTCCGAGGTGCCCAACTATCCGCTCAGTTGTTGCTGTTTTTCGGTTGCTAGTTGCGAGGTCAGTGGAACATAAACATGCCATAAATCATCCGGCAAAAGTGTGAGCGATTCTGGGCGGAGGTGGACCTAGTGGGGGTTTTTCTGCCAGTGGTTCGTGCTGGGAAATCTCTTTTATTTTCGGACATATTTTTGTCCTTCCTCATTCTGCCCTCCAGAACATCATCGTGACATTTCGGGCGCGCTGAATGTGAAGTTAAGATTCATTTAGTTGGTTTGGCGTACATATAAAAAAAGCGATTCGTCGACACTTTGTAGCCCATCGTAGATCTAAAACTGTCAACAGACTCATTAATTATGACTCTGGCATAGTGGTGAAAAATGGGCCCTGCTTTTGCCCCACGATTTTGCAGGAAGCATTCTGTGTCAAATTTGTCATTCATCAGCTTTGTGTGTGTGCTGCTCCTAGCCTTTTGTTTCTGACAGGAACAAGGCTCCATCCATTGGCCAGGAGTTTTCGGCCAGCTAGTGATTTGGGCCCATTGTTTATATGAAGTGTTTGATGGGTTGTTGGCTAATTTTGCACGCTGTGAGTCTGGGTTGATTGGGGGAAAAACTTTCTTTTGTGCTGCCATGATGAGGGTAATGTGACAAGAACTTGGCACTACAGGACATATTTTTTGACAGAATCTATTTTATGATTTCAACAAGTATGCATTCTATTACAAAGTATCCCCTTTTTTCCTAGCCTTTTATAAAAGTTGACATGTGAATTAAACGTAACTAAGTGGCTAAAGATAATGGCTCACATTAACCGCTAAGAGCCAATTTAAAATACTTCAAGCCCGTGACTGACACCTTATTATCATCCCCATTCCCACCTCCATCCCCTCAGACAGCATCAATCACCGCGATAACCCGAGAAACTGCTGCAATTGAGCCACGTTAAGCGTAAAAACGCCGGCAATCAAAGTGAATTCCATTGGCTGACGTGCAATATATAAAAAAGACAATACAGTGCAACTGAGGCGGAAAGTGAATGCAAAGTGAATGAAATAAATTCGAACTGCGGCTGGGAAGTGAGTGGAACCGCGACGGCAGCCGAGAATCATGAGCGAGAAACGAATCGCACACAAAACTGTCATCAAATGACAAATGCTTGACGGCATCAATCAAGAAAAGCGACGACAGCGACGATGGCAGCGCGTTGCCGGTGGAGCTGGCGCCTGGCTTTCAGTTTTCTGGTGCTGCTGCTGCTCCGACTGCTCCTGCTGCCATCAGCGATGGGCCACGATGACGAAACCAAAGAAAGTCCCGCTCCAGGCAGGCAAACTCTAGGGAAGCAACCGCCACTTGTCCACCTGCAACACCAACAAAACAGCGACCAATCCAGCCAACTTACTGTGAATAGAACCTCCACTTCGACATCGACATCCACCACTGCCACGCCCCCGGGCATCCGGGAGAACGTCATGCTGCCCTCGGCCGACCCCGAGCGGGAGGCCCAGATCATGTACGAGAAGTCCATGCAGGAGTACCACGGCAGCCAGGTGTCCACCGCCTCCTCCTCCTCCGCATCCGACGTCATCGGCGGCAAGAGATCGCTGCACACGGTCTGCGAGCGCTGGCTGCAGAAGCACTGCCACTGCACCGGCAGCCTGGAGGTCCTGCGGCTCAGCTGCCGCGGCATCGGCATCCTGGCGGTGCCCGTCAACCTGCCCAGCGAGGTGGTCGTCCTGTGAGTATAGCAATACCCATTATTTTAACTAAAAAATCAATAAACCCTTTAAAGGATTTCTTCATCTGAAAAATATAAAAGATTTTTCAAGTTTTATGAATTTTTAACTAACTAAATTATAAAAGAATACATAGTTTAAAGTACAAATTAAATATATCTTCCATAAAAGTAACCAATATAATTGATTTTAAATAAATGTAATGAATATTTTTAAAAGAAGATTAACTCTAATATCTAATCAATCAAATATTTTAAGATTAAAAAAAAATATATATTAATCTTCATTTAATAATATTCTCTACATTTATTTAAAATAAATTATATAGTTATAGTTATATAGTTGGTTTATGTAAAGCCATTATTATTTAAAATCTTTTTTAAATTAATGCTTCTTATATAATATTTTGTTCAAATTAAAATAAGGTACCAAAAAAAAAATTATAATTGTGTACCTATAAAAAAAGTCTTTATAATGTTCGGTTTGACCCCTTATAGGTGCATTTTTATGTAATAAAATTATAAAAGCATGCAAAAATTGAATCGAAAATTAAATTTATCTTTCAAAAAATTACCAACACTTTATTTTTCATGTGATTTAAAATGAGTTTTACTATGCTAATAGGTATGGTTATTATTTGCATATTAAGTTTGGTTATTTTCATATCATTTTTATGCGTGCAATTAATTAATCGACTATATATATAACACTATTAAAATAATTACATTTATACACATTTAAGTTTGTCGTAAAATATAATAACCTAATTGTGTGATAGAGGCTTTAATAAGCAGGTGTTCTTAAAGTTCGGTTTCATCCTTCGGGATACCTTTAGGTAATCCCCAACACGAAGCACCCACAATAGGTGCTAAATTAAACGATTAATATTTCCAAGACTTGCCCTTATTAAGCGATTGAGCCGACTCACAATACCCACAGCGCTGAACCATTTTCCGCTGCTGGAATTTCACAAATCGCATAATTACAAGTCAATTTCGCAGTCCTCGGTTCGATTCGGTTTCGGACGATTTTGGCATGCGGTTTAATCTAATTACACATACGCCACGTTGTGCAGCGTTTCGCAACCGTCGTCATCGTCACCGTCGCGTCGTCATCATTATCATCAGCCATCGCTCACGTATGTGAGTCACGTTTTCTTGCCGCCGACGGGCTCTCTCAAAGGAGTTGGGAACCGCTTTTGGCTTAGCCAAAGTTTCAGCTGATTAATGGCCAACTCGAACGGTCCATAAATAAATAAATAATTTATTAATTAACGCATCGCTGGGAGACACCAGTCATAAGCCATTAAAATCACTTTCTGATTTTTCAGAAACTTTTCGCTTGGCAAGCGGAGAATTTCTGAAAAACTGTTTTCCTGCCAGGCGGTTCATCTTCATTTATATGCCATTTTCCGCTGCACCGAGGTCTCGGGTTATCTCAATATGTTTTTGTGCCATTTTCAGTTTGATTGATGGCCCCCGCAGAGGATATCCCTCTGTTTCCATCATTTAAGCCTCGCTTTCAATTCATGACAATGGCAAATATTTCCTCTTTGCCTTGTTGATAGATGAAATGTCGGCATCGTGGATGTATCAATACGGTTATTAATTTGTTTATTGTTTTGTTTCTGCCATTCATTTCGCCAACAGAGATTTGGGAAACAACAACTTGACCAAGTTGGAGGCGAACTCATTTTTTATGGTGCCCAGTCTGGAGGAGCTGTGAGTATAAGTCCCTGATTGATGTAAAAATGTAGCGGAAATTGCTCAGTGCTGCAGTTTAATTAATGATAAATCTAGCAATTTCATTTATGGTGCGGATTATCCTTCCCGTTCCAAATTAAGCCCCGAGTAAATTCAACCCCTGCAAGCACCCTTGGGGTTTTGGAAACCACAGAACTTCCCCATTTTAATTTGTGCTGGACGGCAGCAACAAGAGTAAAATATGACAACAATATAAAAACTTTCGTCATTTCAACAGTCAAAGTTGCCGTCGCCGGGCATAGCAACTCATTATTCAATTTCACAGCGAACCCATCGCAAAAAAAAAAAGAAAATCACAGCGGTCAACACACGACCCAACCCTGACCAAAACCGCAGATCCCCACTCCTAACTCAAGTCCTGCCCTTTGGTAATATAAATTACTTGATTACGCTGTATATTTCAGCGAGTTGGGACGATTAATTACTCCCGACTTTGCTATCCTTGCAATTTCCTGCACTTTGGCCGACGACACCCGACTTTAGTTCGACTTTATGCCGGCCATATTCGAGAATTCGAGATTATTGTTGACCGAGGGAGGGTTTATTTGCAGAACCTTGTCCGACAATAGCATCATTAATATGGATCCCAATGCATTCTATGGCCTGGGCAAATTGAAGCGATTGAGCCTGCAGAACTGCGGCCTCAAGTCCTTGCCGCCGCAGTCGTTCCAAGGACTTTCTCAGCTGACCAGCCTGTAAGTATGCAGTGTTCCACTGTTTAAAACAATAAAACCAGCCCAGAAGTGTGCGGTGTGTGTGTGTGCTTGTGTATGTTTGCTTTTAAGCACTGCAATTAAGTTGAGGATACCGCCGAAAGGATATAGGAGCACAGCGAGGACTTCTCAGCCGGATGAATTTGTTTGCTTTTAGGGCAAACACTCTGCCACACGCACTTGCACTCGCCGAGCAATTACACGCTATTTTCTCATATTTTTCTGCTTTTCTGTGCTGTTTTTCCCCCATTTTATTTTGATATTTTGCAATGGTTAAAAAATAAAAAACACAGACAGCTGAATGGCAACGCCCTGGTCAGCCTGGATGGGGATTGTCTGGGCCACCTGCAGAAACTGCGCACCTTGCGATTGGAGGGCAATCTGTTCTATCGCATTCCCACGAACGCGCTGGCCGGACTCAGAACGCTCGAAGCACTGTGAGCCCCTTGACTTCAAGAGTTCCCTAACCTAATTACTATCCTGCATGCTTCGAAAATTTGTAACCGACTGAATTGGTCCGGCATGCACCTTTGACTCTCTTTTATTTGGTGTTTCGCATGCATTTTGGTAGAGGTTTTTGTTTAAACAAACAAACCAATTAGGCTAATTATTTCATTATTTAATTCACGTGCGCGGGGAATGGCAAATGGTTTTGTCTATAATTTACTAATTTATGGGCTAGAAAACTGGCTTACAAGCCAAAAATACCCAGACAAAAAGCAAATTATATAATTAGAAATCCCGTTGATTAAATACTCCAAATAAACGACAGCCATTCAACAATAAACCCCTTATAAACTAACCACAGCCAATAATAATAATTTTATGTGCATGTTTTCATCGAGCATTGACCCCGTAACTTCCTCCATCACAAGTGTATTACCATTTTTAATCTATAAACTTACTCGAGCCACAAAAAGCATTGAATTATAAACGAAAGTTAGGGGATCATAAAACCCAGCGACTGATAATAATTTCTGTGCTCTGCTCCCACTCGAACCATCGACAGTAATTTGGGCAGCAATTTGTTGACAATAATAAACGACGAGGACTTTCCGCGAATGCCAAACTTGATCGTGCTGTAAGTAATTGAGGTCTGCCGGTGGCCATATTCATGTGCATAAGTTTAAGCATTCATTTTTCCTCGTTTTGCAGTTTGCTGAAGCGAAATCAAATCATGAAAATCTCCGCGGGAGCTCTAAAAAATTTAACCGCCTTAAAAGTTTTGTAAGTAGCAGGAGCCATGCGATGGAAGTTCGAATACTTTAAGAACTTTATGCAGGAAATGCAAAACACACACATGAGCAAAGGCGACATGACATAAACACACTGACACCAGGGCGACCTACAAAACTGCAATTGATATCAAATAGAAAAATGATTTCTTTTCGGCAAAGACTGGGCCGAAAGTTAAATACTCTTAAATATAGTTGATAATGTTCTGGAGATGAATGTTCTTGAGGTTCATGCGCGAATCCTCAGGGGAGGGGGAATATAGGGGATAGAACCCCCTACTCGGGTTATATGTAATATTTTATTCTACTTATACTCATAATATTTTTTTCATATCCCCCCAGAACCAAGTTCCACTAATGTATATAAAAAATGATCTGTTCAGAAAGAAATTGTAGAAACACTCTAGGAAAAATGATACTGGTATATGTGTTTCTAAGTTCCCTGATCATTCGTTCAAAATATTAGTTTTGTGAACTTAAAAAAAAATTGGAAAATTTTATAACCATTCGGATACATCCTGTACTTTAATGTATATTTTTGAAAATTTAAAGTATTATACTATACCCCATTAAAAATGTCAAGAATAGAGAAAGGACGATGATACCTCAAGCGTGCTCAAGTGGCAAGTGGAAATGGTGTTTATCCGTTTTGCGGCCATGGCTCGAATAAATTTCAATTTTCCAGCAAAAGCGTGGAAAACTTTTCGTTTTTCTTCCTTTTGAGTTCAGCTTGGTTCGGATCCGACAGCTTAAACTGTCGTCGCCAACGTTGACGTTCTGCGCTGCTGTTTACCGCAAATTTTTGGCTTTTGCGCTGCACGCTTTTCGGTGGGCCCATAAAACGCTCCCTTTTGTACGCCCACATATCCTTTCCACCCACAAGTCCTTTCCACCTACGAGTCCTTCCCACCCACGACGGGCAGCAGACAAATATGCAAATTTATGTTGTGGCTGACAGAGTTCCATTCTCTCCTTGAACAGGACTAAGGAGGGGGCGTGGCCAGCCTTCCGAGGAATGCATCAAGTGAAAGTGAAAAACTTTTATCCGTGCAACGCGTAAATCTAACCATTCACGAAGAATGACGGAAATATTCCGTGTGCATACTGCCGTTTGGCTCCAGATTTATGGAAGCAGAGTCACGCCCGCCAAAAGTGGAGTCAGAGTGGGTCATATGTGGGGAAAATGAGATTGAAAGTTGGTGGCGAGAGCATCTGTTGTTCTCGGTCCCACTTGGCATATACTTACCGAAGTTGCGGAGTATCGGAGAAACACATTCCCCATGCATTTTTAATAATATGGTATTTAAAATTTTTTAAAACAAATGATGAAAAATCTTTATACTAAAGGATTATATTTTACACCCCTCAATAAGACCGCATTGTTTGTTGTAATAGTTGATTGTAAGTGGGCAAGTTATTTGTGTTACATTTATTGGGGAATTTATTGCTGCCTTAGAAGTTAGAGGTTTCATCACCAAGTTTGTTTTCCAATTTTATAAATAATTGAAATCAGAAATACTCTTAGCTTTATGTTCTCGCATAAATTTGCATCTCCAGGCAGAACCAGGAGTCACCCCATCGGAAATGGAAAACGCACCGCTAGGAGCTACGTGATGTCACGTAGCCCAAGAAAACTGACCCCCAAACAAAGTCATGCAAATGGCTGTGATTTCTGTGGAAAATAAAATGCGAGAGCAATATTTGCAACTCAATTTCTATAATCGAAATCAAGAAATGTATTTCAAAGCATCTTCCACTATTTTTCCTTCGCAGAGAGCTGGACGATAATTTAATAAGCAGTCTGCCCGAGGGACTCAACAAACTGTCGCAACTGCAGGAGCTGTAAGTATATCAGGTGAACGGGAAAACACAGGTGTTGGACACATATTATTAGCCCAAGTAGAGAGTGGGGAGCAGTTGCACTCGTGTTGTTGACTTGCCACGACATTTCCCACTTTGTGGGGCGGCAAACAGGCGGAAACCGAAAATCATAACGCATCATTACTTGCCCAATTTATGGCCATATCCAGTCGCAGCCTGCTCGGTTCTATTCCATATCCTGCCAACCACGAATCGAGAATTGCTGGCTGCATTTTGTTTTTGTCACACGCCCGCTTCCTTGAGCAACTCCAAAAGGAGCACAGCAGCAATATCGCTGCTGCAGCAGCAACATCTCGGTCCGCGGCAACTGTCATGGCAATGCTGACATCGTTTGCGATTGCAAGAAGCAAGAAGTCCCCGAGGAAATTCAATTTCTGGTAAACAGGATAATTATGAGCATGTTAAATGTTGCGATAAAAGCCACGCTGTGCTGCATCTCCAGAGCCAGTGCATCCATGATTGGGGAATTAAGCTGGTAAATAAATTCCTACGACTGTGAGAGCAAAAAAAATAACAGAAATCCCTCCATGTGTGTGCGGTTTGGTATGGATGTGGCACAAACAAAAAATCAAATTTAAAAGGATTAAAAGCAGTAAGCGTCTGCGTTTTGTTGACTCCACTCGTAAAAGAATGGGAGTCAAGCCAAGTCAGTGCAACAAACTAGAAGAGATAAACAAAAGATGTTTCTACTTGCAGAGATTCTAAACGAGACTTAATTTTTGTGGTTTGAAAATTTAAGGAAAGTGTTGAGGAATTGAATACGCCTTGTGGTCGGTGACCAATGTCTGGGGGTTAACTCTACTCAACATCCCGAAAAATGTTGGCCAAGAAACACAAAAAGACGTTAACAATATGAGCGCCCAAAAGTATGCTCTTGTCACAGTTTATTTTTGGCATTGTTGGCTTGTTTGCAAAACTTGACTTTTAAATGCAGCTGCAGCCGAGTGCCACTTGCCAGCAGTGTGTATCCGAAAGATACTTTTCTTGGCATTGGATAAACGTTTTTATTAAATTTCCCCCATCCCCTCGACCCGCAGCTCCATCACCAGCAATCGACTACGCTGGATAAACGACACGGAACTGCCGAGGAGCATGCAAATGCTGGACATGAGGGCCAATCCCCTGTCGACCATTTCGGCAGGGGCCTTTCGGGGGATGACCAAGTTGCGGAAGCTGTGAGTGTCCTTCCGGTTTGATTTTAAAATATCCTGGGTGACTCTTGATTTTTTTTGTAGTATTCTATCGGATGTGCGAACCCTGCGCTCCTTTCCCGAACTCGAGGCCTGTCACGCCCTGGAGATACTGAAACTGGATCGTGCCGGCATTCAGGAGGTGCCAACGAATCTGTGCCGTCAAACGCCAAGACTGAAGAGTTTGTGAGTATACAAATTGAATGTAATATTTGTATGATCATTAATCATCTCCTTTTAACAGAGAACTAAAAACCAATTCCCTTAAACGCATCCCAAATTTAAGTAGCTGCAGAGACTTAAGGCTGTTGTGAGTATAGTTCTTTTAAAGGGGTTTCCCTACATTACTTTCATATATCTTTCAACCCAGAGATCTATCGAGCAATCAAATTGAAACGGTTCAGGGGAAGCCCTTCAACGGACTCAAGCAGTTGCACGATCTGTTGCTCTCCTATAATCGAATCAAGGCTCTGCCCCAAGATGCCTTTCAGGGCATTCCCAAGCTCCAGCTGCTGTGGGTCACTATCTAATCACACATTTTCGTAGACCACTAAAGTTTATTTGTTTTATGCACAGTGACCTGGAGGGCAACGAGATCTCGCACATACACAAGGAGGCCTTCTCCGGTTTCACAGCCCTCGAGGATCTCAATTTGGGCAACAACATTTTCCCCGAGCTGCCCGAATCGGGACTGCGTGCCCTGCTCCACCTGAAGACCTTCAACAATCCGAAGCTCAGGGAGTTTCCACCACCTGACACCTTTCCACGGATCCAAACTCTTATTCTGTCTTATGCCTACCATTGCTGCGCCTTTCTCCCCTTGGTGGCCATGTCTGCCCAGAAGAAAACCTCCCAGGTCCAGGAGGCCGTGCTCTTTCCCTCCGATGCGGAGTTCGATATGACCCTATGGAACAACAGCATGATGAACATCTGGCCACAAATGCGTGAGTATAGGCTCGAAAAAAAGCTAGTAGTCTAACATTTAGCAGAATATCCATAAATAAGAAGGCCATGAGCGATTATTAATAAATAATCCTTGGATATATTCTTCAAAAATAATCCTTGCTTTAGGAAATCTTTATAGGTACTGAACAGTGTTAGTTCTTTTATCTTATGCGTTACCAGTATATACGAAAGATCTCTGAAAGTAGCAAAAAGCCTACGAAGTGAAAAACTTCATACAATATTTGGTTCATATCAAAAGTCATTTTATAAGGAAATAATAGGAACACGAGATCAACTCTTGGTTCATCCGATAATTGCTTTAAATATTGGCTTAAAGTATAAACACTAATCTAAGATTTTGAACATTGCATAATTGGATAAATAGGATTTATTTCCTGTTTTTAAGAAAAGAACTCCCTAAAAAATCTTAATTTTAATTTTAATATAATTCTCTCCCCAGACAATCTGAGCAAGCAGCTGGGTGCCGCCATGCACGATCCCTGGGACTCGGCGGCCAACTTCAACGAGGAGCAGCTGCAATCGCAGACGGGGGGACAAATCGCCACCAGCTACATGGAGGAGTACTTCGAGGAGCACGACGTGAGTGGTCCTGCCACGGGATATGGCTTCGGGACGGGACTCTTCTCCGGCATGACCGCCGAGGACTTTCAGCCGGGATCGGTGCAGTGCCTGCCGATGCCAGGACCCTTCCTCCCCTGCGCCGACCTCTTCGACTGGTGGACCCTGCGCTGCGGCGTGTGGGTGGTCTTCCTGCTCTCCCTCCTGGGCAACGGCACCGTGGTCTTTGTGCTCCTCTGCTCGCGCTCCAAGATGGATGTGCCTCGATTTCTGGTCTGCAACCTGGCGGCTGCGGACTTCTTCATGGGCATCTACCTGGGCATCCTGGCCATTGTGGATGCGGCCACCTTGGGCGAGTTCCGCATGTTTGCCATTCCGTGGCAGATGTCGCTGCTCTGCCAGTTGTCCGGATTTCTCGCCGTTCTCAGCTCCGAGCTGTCGGTCTACACGTTGGCGGTGATCACCTTGGAGCGGAACTATGCCATCACCCATGCCATCCACCTGAACAAGAGGCTTTCCCTGAAGCAGGCGGGATATATAATGAGTGTGGGCTGGGTATTCGCCCTGCTGATGGCCTTGATGCCCCTGCTGGGAGTCTCGGACTACAGGAAGTTCGCCGTGTGCCTGCCCTTTGAGACCACCACCGGACCGGCCAGCCTGACCTATGTGATCTCACTGATGTTCATCAACGGATGCGCCTTCCTCACCCTGATGGGCTGCTACCTGAAGATGTACTGGGCCATCAGGGGCAGTCAGGCGTGGAATACCAACGATTCGCGCATTGCCAAGCGGATGGCCCTGTTGGTCTTCACGGACTTCCTCTGCTGGTCACCCATCGCCTTCTTCTCCATCACGGCCATCTTTGGACTGCAGCTGATATCCCTGGAACAGGCCAAGATCTTCACGGTTTTTGTGCTGCCCCTGAATAGTTGTTGCAATCCCTTTCTCTACGCCATAATGACCAAACAGTTCAAGAAGGACTGTGTTACGCTGTGCAAACACTTCGAGGAATCCCGAGTTGTGGGAGGCGGTGGTCAGGGTGGGCGGGGTGGAGCAGTGGCGCGCACTAAGAGGGGTGAGCTGCCACCACCCCTGCTGCCCGCTGCAGCGGTTGCCCACCCGCCGGGCTGCCGATGCCTGAGGATGCTGCCCAGCGAAATGCCCAACTGGCACAAGATGGAGCAAACCCCCAGCTTGTGGCACCGCCTTAGGACCTTCTGCTGCGGGGAGAGCAGGAGACGCCGCAAGCAGCGACGGCAGCCGCAGCAGCGTCGCCAGAGGGCCTATACCGCCGCCGCCGCCAATCCGTACCAGTACCAGTTCGCCGAACTGCGACAGCAACGCCAGAATCGAGCCAGCTCCATTTCCAGCGAGAACTTCTGCAGCTCGCGATCCTCCAGCTGGCGACATGGTCCGCCCTCGTCCGCCCCCCTGCCGCCCGGGAACTGCAGCATGCCGCTGAAGATGCTGGAGCCACATGGCCACCCCCATGGCCATGGTAGGAGGCGCCACTCCGCCTGGCTGATCACCCGCAAGACGTCGCAGGACTCCAACTTGTCCAGCTCGCGGAATGACTCCTCCGCCTCGGCCACCACCGCCAGCACCTCCACCTTCCGGCTGTCGCGATCGAGTGCCGGCAGTAGCACGCCCCTGCCCTCGATCATAGGTGAGTAGTCTCCTTACCATTACCAGTTTTCGACCGGGGGTTTTAAGATACGTAAAATGATCTTAAGTGATGTTCGATTGGGTATAGATAAAAGACGCTGAGAAAACAACTTAGTAATTATATCTACTCATTGCTTTTTTGGAATTGAGCTTAACCATAATAGTTCTTTATGGACTTTAATCTTTGATATTGTTTTTAAGTTCTTATAAAAATAATTTTAAAAGAGTACGAGTATATCCATAATGGATATAGGGACGATTTTCTTTTAAATATTATGTTTATATATTTATTTTAATTTTGAATCTAATGTGAAGATATTAATTTTTACTATTTTATTTAGTGTGGTAGAAGTATAAATCCTATGCTGCTTTCATGGAAATGAGTTTTTATTAAAGTAAAAGAGTATATCGACAATTAAGACAAGATAAAAATTATAGGATTATATTGTTCTGTATGTAAACTGTGCTACGGAACCATTGCCTACATTTATTTTCATTTTCATTTTCATTAGTGTCATGTATCAATATTTCATAAATAATTCCATTTGAATTGGTTGTTTTGTTCGATTTGTTTACCATTGTCCAGCCCACAACGGCAAGGCCCAGTTGGATGCAGTAAAGCCGAGACTAGTCCGCCAGGAAGCGGTCCAGGAGGAAGAGGACTCGTCACCACCTCGCCTGGGAGTGCGTTTTCTGCCCACCATACCCTCGGCTGCCGACAGTTCGGTCATCATGGAAGACGGCGACTCGGCCAACACGGGAGTGGCCGGTTTTCTGGGCATGCCCCTGCCCGGAGCGTCCAGTGGCTTCCTCATTGCACCCTCCACCGCCAACACCTCTCCACCACCGGTGGTGCTGCAGCCGGCGAAGCCACCACCCGATCCCAACGACGCACCACCATGATGGTGGGACCGGCGCTGGCGGGGAATGGGATTGGGATTGGGTAGAGCCAACCGGGAGACCTTTCTGTAGGAGTCAAGGGAACAGGACGAAAGCTGACTGTGTTCATAGATTGTATACGGGGCGGGGCGGGGATGAGGGGATGAGGGCTGGACGAGGGATTTGGCACTTAGGCTAGTAAAGACGCAAAATAAACAAAACCCGCTTTAGGCATCTAAAATTATATATACTTGTAGCCTTAAGTAGCCAATTTGTTAAGTTAGATCACGCCGAAGATCAATATCCACTTGAATCATTTGGAAGCCAACACATGACCCAAAGGATAGCAACGTTGAAAAGATCAGTCACAAGTTCAGTTTCTTAAATTGTTGTTGAATTAAAAAGTCGTTAAAATTTCCCAACCTTCACAATATATCTATTAATTGGACATCATATTCAGTTGAGTGGTTTGCTCTTTATTTATAAAAATATAATATAAAATTCCCCTTGAAGCGTTTATAATTATTTAAAAGAATTATACGAATTAATTAAATAAAATTCTTAGTTAACCGAAACAAGTAACTTAACAACAACTTGAGAAACTGGCCCACATGGACAAAGAGTATTATGTATTTCATAATTTATTACGGTAGATTACGTTCTTAATTTTTAACCATAAATGTTTAGCATAAAGTTATAGCTCTATAGATATATTTATATATGTGTGTATTATTTTCGACGATGCCAAGCATCCTTCGGTGTAGAACTTAATCGAACGAAACGATTGTAAACGAAACCAAGCCATAAACATTCAAATTAAACTATTTCCACATACAAGGAGATGCGTTCTTATTAAAATTAGTTAGTGCTGATGAAAAATCTATAAAATACAAAAGATCTATTCCTCTTCGATCTGATGCTGATTAATCCCCCAGACCGATCCCCAACTCGTTATCCGCCTCCTCGCTGTTGGCCTGCACAACTCCGTAGGATGGGTTCTCGATGAGGTTGTTCCTCTGCTTGTCGCACTCTCGACGACGTCGCTGTAGTTCCCTGAGCACCAGGAGGGGTACCATCACCAAGGCCAGGCAGAGCAGGATGGCCAGGATGAACATGGACCAGTGGAAGACCAGGTGTCTGCCGGTTGTGGGGCTAATCATCGAGTCGAAGCCCTCGCAGGTGTCCGGCCCAATGCATTCCTGGCCGGAACGACATCCCTTGGAGCAAATCGGTTCGCATTCGGTGCTGCTGTCGGCCAAAAATCGGTAGCCCGGCAGGCAGACGCACTTTTCCGGTGCCATGCACTCGGCGTTGATGCACTGCTCCCGGCACTGGGGTCGACAGGAGTTCGGCTCGCTGGAGTTTGTGACCACATGGCCGGGATTGCATTCGCAGTGTCCCGGGGCTGAGCAGCGACCATTCTCGCACCTGGGCCGACAGGTGGGCACACACTCGTAGGGCACCTTGGTGTCCTCGTAGCCAGCGAAGCAGGCACAGCTGTTGGGCTCCACACAGGTGCCGTTCCTGCATCCCGGCGAGCATTCCGGATCGCAGATGGAGGTGGATCCCGGCCTCAGCTTGTAGCCCTCGTAGCAGCGACACACTCCCGATCCCTCGCAGTGGCTATTCACGCACTTCTGGGGGCAGTGGGGCTCGCAGGAGCCGCGGGGCCACCGCTTCGCATAGCCCACATCGCACTGGCAAATCTCCGGGGCGATGCAGAGACCGTGTCCACAATCCTGGCTGCAGATTGGTTCGCAAATACTGGTTCCCTGGCTGGCACTTGGTCGGTAACCGGTGAAGCAGCGACACTCGTTGGGAGCCACGCAGCTGCCGTGGATGCAGGACTTCGAGCAGACCGGGATGCAGTAGAACGAGAGCAGAGCCTGGGGAAAGGAGATATTAGTGGGGTTCATTGTATAGGAAAAGCCAGTATTATGACCAAGTTGTGTTGTGTTTTTGTGTTAGCTCGTAAACAAATGTATATTTTAACTTAAAATATAAAAAAAAATACTTAAAATCGTATTAAGTCCCTTAAGTGTTACTGGGTTTACTCTGGAATTTTTTTTTGTAAATGGCCTTGTTTGCGGAACTTTTTTTCCCACACTCAAAGAAAAACACCTTGCTAATATCAAGTACAAACAGCCGTAATTTAAGAACGATTTCATGCTCACCATTGAAGAACGTTCGTGCCGAAAAAATTCTCACATTTAGCACATTTTGGATTTAAATATCTTATAATCTGTTTATTCTGAAAGTGCTAAGTATAGTGCATGGCAAGTCGTAAGTAAACTTAAAATATTAATATTATTTAGATATATCTCGTTTATTTCAAATTCCAATACTTATTTCTCCAACTTTCATATACAATAAATTGTTTAAATTTACAATATATGTATATTGATTAAAAAATTATTCGTCCCTAAATCATACCTGCAACTTTCTTACTTTATTACTAAATAGTTCTTGTTTTTGGTACACATACGACTAGATTTAAGAATTATTCATTCTTGATTGTAGACCGAAAGGTTCTGAATCCTAGTATTTTCGGTATTGGAAGTTCGTGCATAAAATCAGCATTTTGTTTTCGGGCTCTGTATTTTCCACGCTTGGCGAAGTTTTGACACCGAAAATACTTGATTCGAGCTCAAAATACTTAATTTTTTTTCTAAGTGATTCTTATCCTTTACTTAAATGTACTTTAAGTGATTGGAACCCGTTTTCTAGTCATGTCATGGGTTTATAAATTAGGAGTATGATTTCAGTACCCACCTGATAGCCATCCAAGCAGGTGCAAACGCCAGGACTGCTGCAGATCCCGTTCCGGCAGCTCCTGGGGCAGAAGGGCTCGCACTCGGTGGTGCTGCCGTTGACGAAGACGTAGCCCGCGTCGCAGGCACAGGTGTCCGGAGCGGTGCAGCGGGCGTTGCGTCCACAGCCCGGCTGGCAGGTGGGCGAGCAGCGGTGCGGGGAAAGCTTCTCGAAGCCCTCGTGACACTCGCAGCGACCGGGGGCACTGCAGAAACCATTTTCGCAGCCGGAGCGACAGCTGGGCACACACTCGTGGCGCGATCCCTCGGCGAAAACGTGTCCTTCGGAGCAGGCACAGTGGCCGGGCGAGATGCAGGTGCTGTTCACGCAGGCGGGACTGCACACCGGGTCGCAGCCCGAGGAGAGGGTGCCATCCTTGTGGGCATAGCCCTCCTTGCAGTAGCACTCCTCGGCGTCCAGGCAGCTGCCGTTGGCGCAGCCGCTCGAGCAGATCGGGTCGCAGATCCACGGTTGGCCCAAACGCTGCTCGTGGCCGGGATTGCAGCGGCACTCGTTGGGCGCCACACATTGGCCGTGGTAGCAGACATCCTGGCAAATGGGCTCACATTTGTTCAGCTTGTCATTCCGCTGGAAGCCGTTGTTGCACTGGCACTTTCCCGTCTCCAGGCAGCGACCGTTGGAACAGTCCTCCTTGCAAAGCGGCTCACATTCCTTCTGGGAGCCATTGTAGAACCGGTGGCCCGGAAGGCACTCACACTCGTCCGGAGCCACGCAGTTTCCGTTTACGCAGGGCTCACTGCACTCCGGCTCACAGTGACTGCGATCCCGGCGGTTCGAGTAGCCCTTGTCACACAAACACACGTTGGGCGACAGGCACTTTCCCGCGACTCCGCAATCCTTGCACTGCGGCACACACTCGCTTAAAAATAATAAAAGGTTGTTACAGGTCTTAAAAAAATGTCTCTGAGGATCCTTACTTGTCCTCATTGCGTATATAGCCATCACAGCAAACGTCGTGGAATCCCATGTATGTCTAGGGGTAGAAGTACAGAAAACATAAAGGGTTCTTGAGCTTCAGAAAAATAAATAAAAATGACTTTATAATGTTTTTAACTATTTACATTTTTGCTATTAAATAGCTGCCCATAAAATTCAATTTATTTAAATTTCTATATGCTGGTTTTTAAAGTTGCTCTGTTTTTAAAATATTGTTTTTTTACAAACAAGCAAGACAACAATTTTTGTTCTGATATAATAATAATAATAATAATAATAATAATAATATTCAAATCCAATTTTCAAGATAATGCCTAAAGTAAAATTGTATTACCTCTAAACATTAAGTTATAATTACATATTTGGCCATTATAAGACCATTTTTGTGAAGATCTCTTTTAATGGTCTAACCATTTATTGATTTTTTTTGGAAATATAACAGACTATCTCACCTCAGTTCTGGTTCTTCCCACCAAGGGTCCACAGTTTGTAGTGCAGTTAGCATAATTTTGGTGCTTACGCATTGTTACCAGAGTTCCACGCATTTTAACAACCCTTAAGACCCGTAAAAGGTTAAATTAGATCAATACATTTCGATTCCGTAGAATAATACTCACGGCACACGGTTGACACAACCCTGAACCTGCGTGCCGGCCAGTAAAACCCACACAAGGACAATCATATTTGGATTTGATTATTGAAATAGGTATTTCGCGACCAAACGACTTCGATCAACTGTTCACTTTAAGTTACGCTTGACAAATGATCACCCAATTGACTTCCCATGGATTCCATGGGCAAGGAACACAGACTTGAGCGCTTATCTGTTCAACGTATTATTTCCCTCTCTCTATCGCCATTCATGTGGGAGAGATACCCATGCGTTATTCTCGTATGTGTTTAATGAACCCAAATGCAGGGAGCACAATAGCCCCGGAGATTGCGATACGAGTCCAAGTGCAGTCCACTCGCATTGAGATCCTTAACATTGAATTTACCTCATATTGTTGCTTATCGATCTATTTAAAGTCACCATAAGCTTGTCCACGTTTTACAGGGCTCTACCAAAAAATGCGTACATAAAAAAGAATCAAAAACAAAGAAGAATCAGGATCACAAAGTCTAACTTTTTGATTGGGAACTCTATTCCATGATATTTGGGTGATCCTGCCAACATAATAATAAATAACGGCCTTACAAAATAATAGTCCTTGCCTTTGTACATGTATGTGTGGTTTTACGTCAAAGTTGTTTCACCATTTTTCGGATTAACAACAGCCTCAAAAACATATTAAAAGAGAACAATTTTAATTTTTATCAGGTTCTGCAGTCCTATATACGCTTAAATTTCGATTTAACGACTATTCATGAGGATATTTTATTTTTATAGCAATAAAAGCACACTTGATAAGTTATAATCTGCTTCTATATTTTTTCAAATTTAAAAAAAAATCACGACAACCTCTAAAGTGTGTACACTGTACAAAATTGTTTGAATGAAAGCACACTCTGAAACATATTTAAAAAAATTTAAATTGTTATGTTTCGCGAAATAATAGGTGAAATAATCAAAGAAGATGTGAAAAATAACCATGACCGTTTATTTTCCTGTAATTTCCTGATTAGTAAATTTTAATAATGTTTAATTTAACCATAAGTATATCTTTATAAAAAACGAAAATACATTTAATAAAGAATCAGTATATGTACAAAGATCAATATAAAAGGAAAGCTATTGCAAGCTTAACTATCGCACTGGTGGTATGTATTATATTTAATGTAATAATAGATTGGGAGCTTGTGCCGCTCACTAAGCCCGTTTATGTCGTCTTTCTGAGTTGAGTGATGGATCAATTGAATCTCTAAAGCTTTTCAAGGTCCAACCAAATGCCGCCTTGCAGACCAGAGATGAATTGGACAGGGTCAAACTCATTGTCTTTGCGAGTTTTGGCATTGATCTTGACATTGAACTTTGAGACCAGTTCCACAATGGCTGCCTTTATCTGCGCTGTGGCAAATCGCATTCCTAAATAAGAAATTAAAATTAATATCAAAGTTCCTGGTATTTTGTTTAATTTATCTACTAACCAATGCACACGCGTGGACCATCTCCGAATCCCATAAAGACACCACGTTCCCTGAACGTTTTGGCCGCATCGGGCTCCAAGAAACGCTCTGGCTGGAAGGACTGAGGATCGGGAAAGAAGTCTTCATCAACCATGAAGCAATAGTGGGGTACTACAACAGTGGTACCCTTCTCCACCACGAAGTTGGGGCCATCCTTGTTGGGAAGCTCGATTGATTCGGTGCAGAGTTTGTTGGACATGAAGGCGGGCGGGAAGAGGCGGATGGTTTCTGCAAATCCAAAGAAAGACGTATTTGGCAACAAGTAGTCTAGGACCCGCTATAGCTCACCCTGCAGACAAGCATCCAAATAAGGCAAGTCGTTAAGTTTCTCGAAGTTTATAATGCCATCCTGCAGATGGGCGCGGATCTCCTCCCGCAGAAGCTCCTGAGCCTCACCATTACGCCCCACGTTGAGGAGCATGTGAGCCAGCACCGTGGCCGTCGTCTCGAATCCGTCCAGCAAGAAGGTCATGGAATAGGCCAGCAACTGGCGATTGTCCAGCTTCCGTTTCTCCCCGAGCTGCAGGATGTAGTCCAGGAAGTCGGACCTCTCGAACTGCTTTCCAGCGGCTTGTTGGGCGCGACGGGCCTCCACTGCATTGCCCATCAGGTCGACGAAGAAGCGTTCCACTGGGAGCGGTATGAAGCGCAGTTTTATCAAGTGGCTCAGCGATGGAAAGGTACTAGTCAGCACAAAGAAGAGCACGAAGGTCCAGGGCTGGTTAAACAGGTCCTTTATACTCGCCATAATGGGAGTGGGCTTGTCTGAAAAGCTTTCAGCGCTCAGGCCCAATACGCAATCGGTGACCATTTCTGAGGTGAAGCATAGACTCATCTGTGCATTGTAAATAAACAAAACGGGTTTATTTTCACACTACAATTATTGTTATCTGCAAACTTACATGCTTGGCATCGATGCCGTCGGAAGAACCCAGACGTAATTGCTTATCCACCCACTCGCTCAGCTTTTGGCACACCTTGTTCGTCACCGGATAGACTGTCTTAATCTGTGAATGATTTACACACATTAATGTAATAACGATATGTGTTCACTTGGATGCACTGCCTCACCCGTCCCATTGTAAGACCAGGAGTCACGTCTGCCCGCCTATTCTTCCACTTTTCGCCAGTTAGCGAGAACGGATTGTTTGCAAAAATAAAGTCCGTTTTTTCGTCAATGTTCTTGGCAATCTCATTGTCATGGAAGTTTTTAAAGTTGGATACGAACACTCGACGGGCCAGCTCTGGATTGACAACCAGCAGCTGAGGAGAGCGGGATCCAAAAATTCCAACAGCGTCGTACTTGTGCTTATACTGCCTTAAAATAATTGGTTTAATCAGAATGATCATTTAGTAAAATGTCATATATTTAAATTGATATTATAAACAATAAACAAGTTTGGTTATTAGAATTATAAACAGAACTAACACTTTTTAGGGGTTCTATGCATACTTTTGTATTATGTTCTCTATTTTGCATACTCACCTATAAATGTCGTTTAGATCGTAGATAGCATGGCGCTTCAGAGTAAACATGTGTGGATAGTTGCCGCATAAGAGCTTGGGCTTGGGACCCGGCACCCCCCGCTTTCTCCAGTAGTCGTAGTTCCATATCAGAACCGCATACAGCAGCCCCACCGCCAACGAAACCAGGGTCAAAGTAATCAGAACCATATTCCCCCGCTTTAAAATGTGCCTCCACACGCAAAGAACTCCGTGTAGCGTCTGCCGCGGCACCAGAAATTGTGCTCTATTTGTAGCCGCTCATTGGATTCAATACACAGACCCCGGTGAGAGATTATTTGTACAGATACCTGGCTTTTCGTGAAACGAGCATTACTAAGAGAGCAAACTACTCAAAACACACCTCAGGCACTCGAGTACTTACATATAAATGATAAGATCTAATCATTATTGCAGGCGGTCAGTCCTCATATCAAGCTATTATTATTTATTTACGATGTTGTTCTTTAAAAAAAGTGTACTGTTGCAACCCGGCGAGCCAATACGAAATTCACCAAACTAATCTTACTACACGTTAAAAATTCCAGTTGCCAATTCCTGCACAAATTTCATAGTTCTGAAAAGGGAAAAAACAACAAGATCAAGGGCTTTTTAAAGGTACTATCCACATATATTTTATTAAATTGAATGTGATACAATTATAATGTGATACCGGATCATATATACGAGTATAAGATGTTTTACAAGGGGGTCTAGTTTATCTGAATCTCAACGGATGAGTGATTCTTCCTTGAGTAACTGATTTCAGATGTACTTTTATTTAGAGTACAATTTGATTTGAAAAGCTATACAGAACTCAGACACCCGTTACTCAGCTAACCAACTTAAAAGCAAGAGAGATCGTTATAGTCGATGCCATCGACTATCATATACCCATTACTCAGCAAAGGGGAGTGCGAGGGAGATGGATATAAGCAAGTAGCAAAGTGACTGTTACGAAGATTGCATACTTCATTTGCTTTAAACTTTTTTATGAGTTGTCCGATCAAAAAAATTGTAGGCACATATATAGATATTGATAATCAAAACAAAATCTCATATAAATTTTTACAAATACAATAATATAATATATATAAATTTTTACGTTTGCGTTATGTGCGTTTTTTGAAGCAAGAAGCTCTTAAGTCTGCACGCCAAATCCCAATTTTCTGGCTTTTATAGTTTCCGGACAAACGGACACACGGAGATGGCTTACCGACTCGGCTAGTGATCTTGATCAAGAATATATATAAATACTTTCAGACGAATTAAATATACCCTTAAACTCTTTTTACTATATATATAAGCTGAATTTCACAAGCTTGCTGATGTTTGCATAATGTCAAAGATTGTTTGAAGTTTTGATAACATTCGTTGACTTCCTACGAGCGCATTAGCCAAATGTTTGTGGTCGAGCGCAGATGGTTAACTAGACCAGTCCACATCAAGATGAGGTGAATAAAGTTTTTAATGACGAACTTGGTAATATCGACTCGGCTAGTACTATATACCTATGAAAAATTGCGCATTTTTAAAGTTTCCGAGTTGTAGCTCATGATATACTTAATATAGTCTATTCAGTTGTTCGGCAAATTTATATGGTGACCTTACTTTTGTAAACATGGAGGTATCAAAAAAATTATCTTAAAATATCTTTAAAAGATCTTGTCCATATTACCATACCAGAGCTTGTTCATACAAACAGAATGCCATCGTACTCGATGATGTCTCGATTTTAGCTATGAAGAATACAGAAGAATGTCACCATTACCGTTTCATAGGCATAGTCTACGTCATGATAAGGCACTAAACAACGACTATGTCTATTTTACGATACCTGTTGTTAAAAAAAATATTACTTTAAGATTAAATTAAACATGTTTTGAAAATAACAATAATTTAAAACAATAAAGCATTTTACTCAAGTATTTTTACACAAAGTACAGATAATATGTTGGTGATATAGAATCTGATTACAATCTGCATTTGTTTGTCTCATATTAATCTGTGCAATAGCTAGTAAGTAGAGTATTTTATTACTATGTATAAGCATGAGTTGTGTTGCCTTTTGAAAATAAGTATTGTATGAGAGGGAAAGGGTTTTGAAAGACGTAAAACAGACTTCCAGAAAAATATAATCGTCATGACAAATTTAATAGCTGTTATTGATTGGCGGAGGTGTAAACGTTTACCTAGACTTCTTGTTTGTTTATTCTAATATAACTGTAGCTAAAAGATTAGAGTTTGTTCAAAGTATTGTTAGCGAATAAAACGCAGAACTTTCAGTGTCCACGGACATTTAAAGGGGCGCGGTTTTTGCCTTGTACTGTTTAAATGGGTGTACTAGATTCTACGCCCACTCTAACGCCCACAAACCGCCTAAACCTGTGGCTCCCACAATTTTTATGCTTGAAAAAAATTTTAACTGAAATGTATTAGTTTCGTCAATACCTCTCGATTGTCCCAAAAAAGTTTGCCAAGCCCACTCTAACGCCCAAAACGCTTACATCTGTCTACCGCCCACATAACCATATATTGAGATCGCCGGTAGGTGGCGCATAGCGACTATAGCGTTCTTCCTTGTTAAAGTTGGAGACGAGTAGTCGACTTGCCAATTCGGGAGTGATAACAAGGATCTAAGGTGCAGGGAGCTGAAAATGACAACATAGTGACTTTTTTGTGTAATCTGTAATAATAAGAAATTAAACCAGAGAACAGCGCTGTAAAGTTTTTTTTTTGCGAATGTTAAAGGACTGCAGGTTAGAATAGAGAGAATAACCTAATCGAAATTAGTTAATTGAAATTGGAATTGAGTTTATTGGACAGAGAGAGGGGGACAAAAATCAATAGAATAGTTAGCCGCGCACTCAGCTTTCTCCCTCTTCCTCTTGGGAGGTTTGTGGGCGTTAGAGTGGGCGTGGCTAACTTTTTAAGTCAATCGATAGATATTGACGAGACCAATAAATTTCAGTTACAATTTTTTTGTGCGCACCACAGTTTTGGGCGGTCTGTGGGCGTTGCACATTCTGAGAGAAAATGTAAGAATATTTTCCGCATAAAAACTTCGGCTTAGGACCCAGAACCCCCCGCTATCTCCAGTGGTCGTAGTTATATATCAGAACGGCATACAACAGACCGACTGCCAAGAAAGCCAGGGTCAATGTTATCACAACCATTATCCACTTAAAATATGCCTCCACACTCGGAGAACTCTGTTTAGCTTTTGTGACGGCTTCAGAAGTTGTGCTCTATTTGTAGCTGCTCATTGGATTGGATACTCAGACCCCGGGAAGAGGATATAAACTGGGTTGCTCTCAGAGGTTTTACATCTCATCAATAATTAATCACTATTGTAGGCACTTATCGCCTTTCATATAAGCTATTATTAATTTGTTCCTTAAAAAAATTGACTGAAAAAAATCACCAAACGTAACTTTTAAACAATTTCGTTTGCCAATGTCATTAATTTCTTAAATTTCTGTACTATGTATTGGAAAACACAAATAAAGGGCTATGGAATACAAACAAAATTACAAAACTACATATTTTTAACTAAAAGCTTTACTATTTTACATCAGGATGACACAAATAGAACGTGAAATCGGGATATACAATTGCAACTATACAAAATATAGTATGTGGTGGTACAGCTTATCTGAATCTCAACGAATGTCTGAGAAACTAAATTTAAATAAGTTCATATAAAGAGTTCGGTTCAGTTCGGTTTGTAAAGCTATAAAGAACTCATTACAGAAACACGAACGCTTAGTCTTACAAGTTTACTGATCATAGCATAATGTCACACATTCGATGTCTTTGGGTGTGCCTGGGCCTTATCATAGCATTCCTTTACTTCGTTCGAGGACTTTATCCAAATGCTTGTAGTAAACAGCAGTATGTTTCGTACACCCGTCAAGTCCACAAGAGTAAATTGGTACCTTACCAAGAGCATTCTTATTGGAGAGGTTGGCAGACGAAATATCGCACTGAATATTTCTATCAAGATGAGGTAAATTAAGGATTTTGAAACATGCCATTGTTGAACAGAATGAAGTTATTGACATTTTGTTACATCTAAGCTCAGTTAAAAAAATGCTAAAAATTTCAAATATTTTTAATGTATCTTGCAAAAAAACGATTAAATGCAAATTATTTGGGAAATTTGAGAGTCAGATACTATTTATTCTGACGCCCGGATGTGCTGATAGGCTGGGATTCATAAAATAAAGAGCGGATTAAAGCGCTCCAATAACGAGGGTCCAGTTCTGACTGAATCATTGAGCAGTGCGGTTGCTGAAGATAACACATTTATGTACTTTATGAAATTAAACTGAGTCTCATTATTCATGCATTCATATTCACTACATTTTATGTGCCTGGCAGCGACCATTGGCATAAGTTTGGGCCAATTCTGGCTTGGTAATCGTGGTGGACATGTTTGCAGTAATCCGCAAAGGGTTACATATACTCAAAAGGTTCCCAAGATGAAATTAGTACCTTATCAACAGTATTCCTATTTCAAAGGTTGGGAAACAAAGTATAGGCATGAACCTGTATGGGAAGACCAGGTAAAAAGGGGTTTTAAATCTTTCATCTTAAGTCTTAAGTCATTAATTCCATTAATTAAACTGTCTTAAAACATATAAATTATACCCTAGATTGCCTACAGATTTGAGCCCAAATACAGTTGCTGTGAAGGGTACGAAGGATCAATCTACGACTGCAAGCCCGTCTGCAAGAACAAATGTCCTACCAATGGATTCTGCGCATCTCCCGATCGATGTAGTTGCAAACAGGGTTACGGTGGATCCGAGTGCCAGCCTATTTGTCCATTGGGTTGTGGAAAGAACGAGTTTTGCGAGCTGCCCTCGGTGTGCAGCTGTAAAAGTGGCTACCATGGCGAAAATTGCCTTCCCATTTGCCCTGGTGGATGTGGAGATCATAGCTTCTGTTCGGAGCCCGGTAAATGCGAGTGCGAACCTTTTTATAAAACACTGGGAAACGGCACAGACTGCCGGCCAGTTTGCTCGCCGGAATGTGGTCCAAACTCGTCCTGCCAGGAGCCGAATTTGTGCACCTGCTTAGAAGGATACAAGGATGATGGGCGGGGCAGTTGCTTACCAATCTGCCAGGAGGCATGTGGCCCCAACAGCCGGTGCTTGAAGCCAGGGCTTTGCGAGTGTGAAGATGGCTATGCCGGCGACGAAAGGGGAGCCAATTGCCAGCCCGTGTGCTCCAGTTGTCCGGAAAATGGAAGCTGCCTGAGTCCCAGTGTCTGCACCTGCAATCCCGGCTACGTGATGAAAGACAATCGATGCGAGCCGCATTGTGAGGAAGATTGCTCGGATTACGGACACTGCGTGGCGCCCAATCGGTGCGAATGCTACCCGGGTCACGAGGTGACCAAGGTAGACATGAAATGTGCTCCCATGTGCACCAAAGGATGTCCAAACGGCTTTTGTTTTTCCCCGGAAAAGTGTGTCTGCAACTTTGGCTACCTGATGGGCCCGAATAACACCTGTGAGCCACAGTGCAGCCTTAATTGTGTCCACGGCCAATGCACCCATCCGGACACTTGTTCCTGTGATCCGGGATATAGATTCAAGGAGAACTCCACACATATTTGCGAGGCGATCTGCGAAAGCGGTTGCAAGAACGGTGATTGCGTGGCTCCAAATGTATGTATATGTCACGACGGATACCAGCCAAACGACAGAAATCCTTCCACTTCCGTGTGCAAGCCGCAGTGTGCCGAGGGCTGTGAGTTTGGGGATTGCGTTGCGCCACACGAGTGTCATTGTTGGCCGGACTACGAGAAAATCAACGGGGTCTGTAAGCCTCAAGAAACGACTACCCAACCTACCGACACAACTTCGGAACCCAATACCATAACGGTCGATCTTACGACAACTACAGAAACAGATCTCACATCACCCACCGAAGTCCTGCAAGTACATCACACAAATTGCACTGGCGGTTGCATGTGCTGGATCGAGTACGATGAGGAGGGTACTTTTAATACAGCCAAGTGCGCCAAGATCTGTGTGGATCCTGAAGACGAACCGTGCCTTAACTTGGATAACTGTCACTGCGACCTACCGAGTGGCCAGTTGGTCTGCAAAGAAGACAGTAGCGAGGATAGTAGCTCGGAGGAAACACATTATATCTGCAAAATGCAGCAGTTGAAGAAGGCAAGATCGGAAGCCGAGGTCAGGGCTCACGAGAGCACTAAATCTTCTACCAAAGTAATGGTCATCCTAGGCTCGTGTGCTGGAATCATCCTTGGTGCGGCCATTGCAGTTATAGCCACGAAGTACTATCGCCGTTCTGCCTCCAGGCGAAGCTATGAAGCCGATGAAGCCATCTATGCAAATGATTTTGAGTAGTTTCTTCTATATAGCTAGTTCACCACTACACATATTATATAATAAAGCAAATAAGAATTATAATAAACTAAGAAACCTGTCCAGTACTTGATCTTAATAAAAAGTATAGGAAACATGCAGCATCAAACTTATTTGTTTAACACAGGAAAGGCCCCTTAAAAAAATAACGTTGTTAGTCAAAGTTTTTGGAAATATTTGTCATGTGAATATTAATCAGGTTCGCCTTAAGTGTTTATCAGTTTAAGAAATTCAGAATGAGTTAGGCCGTTGAGTCACATGAGAACCCGAGTGCTTTCGTGGGTTTCAATACATACATTCAAATGAATTTTGGCTATCGCTGCTCAGTAATTTTTCAGCATTTTTTAACTTGAAAGCTTAGTTTTAATTTTGGCACAGGGCAGAGCGGTTGGCTTAAGGAAGTATCCGGGCTTATATATACAGAAATATACCATTTGCAAATATGCCTAAGTTTCAACTGATTGTTGCTTGCCTGATATTGTGCGCTTTTAGCGACGTGATTGGAAACGTTGTGAAGGATAATTACGAAACTGATCCGACAGGTAAAAACGTAAGTGTCTTATTAAATACTTCAAAAAGGAAAACGATTCAAATTAGTTATTATTATTTGCCCTTTAACTGCAATCAGTTGTATTTTAATAATAACAAAAATATTAATACCTACTTTTCTTTTTGTAGACTGATACAAGCGGAGTTACCCCATCAACTATGGATTCAACTTCGGATTCATCTCCGGTTTCATCTACGGACAAAAGCACGGAGGAAAGTACTGATGAAAGTACTGATAAAAGTACTGATAAAAGTACAAATAGAAAAACGGATGCCAGTACGGATAAAAGTACTGAAGGAAGCAAGGACGAAATTATGGTTAAAAGTAGTGATGAAGGTACAAAAGGAAGTCCGAATAAAAGTACTGACAGCACCGTAAGTACGACTGACTCCTTTCTGGACTCGGTCACAACGCAGAAAACAATTGAAAGAGCCGCTGTGTCTTATAATAATTCAGATGGATGGAACACGTTCCTTCATTGGATGTTCAGCATTCTAATTGCCTTGGCTATCTTAGCAGCGGCCTTATACTGCATAAGGCGGCGTCGAGGGTCATATTCTGTCAAAGACCAATGTGACATTACCGTAATAGAATATAATAATCGCAAATAGACCTGCACCCCAAGAAATAATTTAAAAATGAAAAATTACACTTTTCTTCTAAGTAATACGTATTTCAAAACTATATTTCATGTTTGCAAATTTTAACATGCCTACTCCCAAATGCAATATACAAATTTAATTATCCATTTGTGTTAAATCACTTGTTTATGAGTCATGGTATTATGTTTTTTTGATAATAGCTAAAATGTTGTTATCTTGAATGGCACCGGTTGAGGGCCTTACAAATAAAAGCTTGCACTGTTTTTGTATTATAACAAGTATGTAGTACATTATAGTCATATCTTTTTGACACATGTTCAAGTTGGGGGTTTCCCATCATTTTTAAAGGAATGGATCTTTTGCATACGATTTTAATTGGACTGTTTTGATATTTCAAATCTTCTGACATAGGTGGAGATCAAAACGTAGGACTTAGGATGCCTACACCGGAACACACATAGTAGATTGCTCATGGTAGGTGAATCCCGGATCGCAGATGCACCGGTTGCGACTGACACACACGCCGTTGTTGCACTTTCTGTGGATGTTACAGTGAAGAACGTCAATGGGTGACGAACAGAACAGAGGTTAATGACTCACTGGTAGCAATCGGCCTGGCAGACACCGTCCCTGGTATGGTAGCCGGGTGCGCAGTCGCACTGGTTGTTGTCCTTGCAGAGGCCCCCAATTCCGCAGTCCGGTTCGCAGACGGGCTGGCATCCGTCGTCGGTCAGCTGGTATCCCTTGGAGCAGCCGCAGACCTCCGGTTCGGTGCAGTTGTGTCGCGGACTGTTGCCACATCCACTGCTGCAGATGGGGCGGCAGAAGCGCCGTGTCTCGTCCAGCTTGTAGCCAGGATCGCACTGGCAGCTGCCGTCCAGGAAACACTGTCCATTCTGGCAGCCCAGCGGACAGGCGAACACACAGTCGCCGTTGTCGTTCTTCACGAATCCCTCGTAGCACTCGCACTCCCCCGGAATCCTGCAGCTCCCATTCTGGCAGCCACATTGCGCCCGGCACACGGTGACGCCCTTCAGCCGACTGGCCGAGTATCCGGTGCAGCAGACCTCGATGAGGGACAGCCGGTTCGCCTGGTCCGTCTGGATGACGCTGGGGTGCGCGTACTTTTCAACCGTATCGGGTCTATTTTGATGCGAGACGAAAAAGTTTTAGTTTTGCTCAACACTCTAGAATGACTAATCCAAGATATTGTTCACTGCGATACAAACAAATAACTTTTACAAACACAAAGCCTTATGATTATCAACCCGAATTCTTATTAAGGAAACATGGTTGATAAAACATATTAAAATAAATGTGAGATTAGAGTGCTTTATTTACTCCTAGTTCGACAAGCTTGTTTACTTATAATTTTGTACGCTAGTCATCACGTAAATATATATTTCTCATATTGTTTTGCAGTGGAGCCAAGTACTTACGGCACCCAAATGCGGCACTTGTGCTGCCCTCTATCGGACGGCGTTTCATGGGATCGAATCAAGTATTCCCGACGTTTCGGTGGCTGCTCAACGATTCTGGGATCTTGGAAATTGGCTGCTCCAGGTCGATTAAAGGACAACTGCCTGCTTTCCACATAGCCGCGGCCATAGCTACCTGGATCCTGGGATACGGGTCTCCTGTTATATCGTTCCGAATAGTTGGGCACATTTGTGTGAATAGTGGGCAGACACACCATCAGCTGAAAAAAAATCAAACGAAGACCTAAATCTCGTAACCACATTTTCAAAACCCGCACGCTTGGATTCCGTTCTTAAAGTGTTTACAATTTGCCAGCTAAAATTCTACTAATTTTCGCCGTTGAGCAGCGTTTATTTTATTGTCTTATCAGAAAGCTATATTCGATGCTAAGGCGAAAAGAGAGGAATTTCATTTAGTTTGTTTCTGAGAAACATGTAAAGATGAATTTTTCAGAGTTGGGACTTGATTGTACTTTTTCTATACAATTTTTTCGATACTTTTATCATTAAATATTTTTACTTACAGTAATAAAACATTTAAAAATGCCTTTCTCACGTTATTTTTTTTTTTATTATTTGCCATTTTGTTTTTCTACCTTTAGAAAGTTAAAGCTGATAACATTTCTTAAAAATAAATTTTTCAAAAACTACTTTTTGGGTCTCCTCTCTATCATATTAGACAAACAAGGCAAATCATACAATTAGCAATGAAACCCCATAAAACAATCTTTAGTTCGTTCTCACTTGACATACATTGGCCTTGCGAGCCCTGGATCTCCGCCTCCCGATCCGAATTAAAAGCTGAAAGCCCTCTTATCATTGCCTCCGGCTGTGATTAGAGGCTGGCTCAACTGCGTCGTCAGCAGTAAACAATCGCGACTTGAGCGCTTCGGTAGCGCGGCACAAAGAAATCTTTTCCGGAGCTGAGATGTCGCCACTTCTGCGCTCTTTGTGCCTCCATTCGGTGCTCCTGGTCCTGTTCCTCTGCGTCCTGCAGGCCGTGGAGCTGCAACTCCACGAGCAGCAGCTGCAGCAGCAAAAGGACGAGCAGTTGCGCCTGCGCGAGGAGCAGCGCCAGCGGGATCTGCAGCGGGAGCACGAGGCACTCCAGCGACGCCTCTCGTCCTCGACCACCAGCCGGAAGCCCTACATTATCCCCAATGGATTATCGCTGCCCCGGAGGGGGGAACATCCGGACAAGTGCTACCGGGAAGTGCCGTAAGTGGGTGGTGACTCTCAGTAAGATAAAGAACCAATACTTTGATGATCTTTGGCTGATCTTTGGGCCTAATCAATAACTTGCCAATATTCAGAAGAAATTAAGATACGAGTAATCGAACTGTTCGGACATTATTTCTAATGTTTTATCTATATTTATTTATTACTATGTGGATTTATTTATACCATACAAAATATGTGATGATCTCTGCATGCACCTATGCCTAATAAGTAATAAAGAAACGAGTGAAAAATCATATTTTATAAAAGTATCCCTGACATCTCCTTTTACTTATTTACAAATGTGTTTTTTAAATTATATTAAATTATTCAGCTACTTCATAGAACATATTTTTTAATATTAAAATAAGAAATGCAAAAAAAATAAAAGAGAACGACTTAATACAACATACATATAAAAATATTCTTTCGCTGAATTTTAAAAATTTTGAGTTAACGGAAACTTAAGTAAAATTTTTGGAAAATGATCTTTCTCTTTTATTTATACAGAAATTGACATTAACATTAATCTCTAACATTCAGTGCGAATATTTTTTTGAGTGCCTTATTATGCCTATAGTAACCGATTGCATTTTCAGGGCGGTGTTCTTCCAGTACGACAAGGAGGTGAAGATCGTGGGCAACAGCTCTACCAACCCATACTTCAACGAGATCGAGGTGTGCTGCAAGGGCTGGCGGCGCTACGAGTACGATTGGAGCCAGTGCGTCCCCGACTGCGGGGAACGGTGCCAGGAGAACGGCTTCTGTTTGGCGGGCGGCATCTGCCGGTGCTTCCCGGACTTCGTGCTCAACTACCGCAACAACTGTGTGGCCACCTGTCCGCTGGGCTGTCCGCATGGCCGCTGCTACCTGAACGGCACCTGCCTCTGCGATCCGGGCTATGAACTGGACGGATCGCGAAAGTTTTGCCAGCCGCAGTGCAATGCCACCTGTGGCCACAACGAAGTCTGCTTGGAGCCGGGCAAGTGCTCCTGCGCCGAGGGATATGCCCGAGGACTGAGGGAGTCCGCCGCCCTGGGATGCCAGCCCGTCTGCATTCCCGACTGCGGATACGGCCACTGCGTCCGGCCCAACGAATGCGAGTGCTTCCCCGGGTTCCTGAAACGGCAAAACAGCGTTTCTTGCGAGATCGAGTGTTACATGTAAGTGCTTTGATTACGCCACTTTCCCAGAACTTATAGGTTGAAAAATATTCAAGTACATTGTTCTTGAATTGCGAACAGTCGTTCTTAAAAACCGTGTAAGTACATTTTGGTATCAATGTTCTCAATAATAGAACAAAATGGTGAGAAGGGAAAAGTTAAAATGAGTTTATTTAACAATTTTTTAATAGGTATACAGTACTGGCTGGACTAATAGTTTAGTAATTGAAATATACAATGTAAATACCGCCAATTCAACTTGATTCAAGAACAATGAATACATTTTCAACGTCAAAAATTTCGTTCTATTTTTAAGAACAATTTCAACTCAGATGAGAACGTGAGAACTCTCTCTGTGTAGTCACTGGACTTGGGATTATATTCTTTTTAATCCGTATTTTCGCGATGCCTGACTGCTTAAACCGTTTGGATTAAACCTACCATTGATTATAGTTTTATAAAAAATCTTTGAAAGTTTCTAGTTCTTTAACGTTGCACAGAATTAACTGAGCGCCCATTCCGCGTAAGTTTCTTACGTGCATCAATAAAAGTTTACATCACTTAACGCTGAAGTGATTTCTGTGGCACTCCTGATATTAATAAAATTATGTAGCAAATAAATATATAATTATATAGCAAAAAGTCATGTGATAAATACTGATAGAGGTGTAGCTTTATACTAGGCGATTCCCTCTACACATTTTAAGATCGTCTAAAAGAGTGCTACTTTGCAGCTTATGAAATTCTTCCAAATTTAACTGTCTTTTAGGCGCTGTGAGAATGGCTTCTGTGCGAACAGGACGACTTGTGTGTGCCAGAACGGATATCGCTATGACCAAAATACGACGAGCTGTCTGCCGGATTGCGGGGACAACTGCGAGAATGGGGTTTGCATCTCGCCGGGCAATTGCCGCTGCTTCAAGGGCTACGTCCGAAACCGGGAGAAATGCGAGGCAGTCTGCGTTGGAGGATGTGGCTTCTACGGCAAGTGCATAGCCCCCAATGTGTGTGGATGTGCCGTGGTCCCGGGTCCGGAAAGAACCTACCAACGGTGCGAGTTTGGGTTGTGCAACTCCATGGGACGCTGCCGCTGCCAGGTGGGAATGACGCGCTTCATCGACCGGTGCATGTCCCCGGATACGGTCACCACATACGCCTCCACGAATCCCATCAAGGTGAACGCTTCGCTGATCCAGGAGTTCAATCTCCTGCTGGGCAGACACTTCAACTTGACCACTCTCAGCGACATGTGGTGGCTGTGAGATAAGGGCTCCCACCAAAATACTGTTTTATTTTCAGAGTCACAAAGAAATCACTAATAAACACTCATATATTTTTTAAGAATAAATAATCGTACGTTTCTCAAATGTCGCAGTCTTATCAGTGGATTCTACGCATATCTAGTGGCTTCATCTCTGGGTCTTATACTTTTTCGGAGCGAGAGAAATTTACTTTCTTTATCTGCCGAATAATTTGTACCTCTTCTACAAAATGTGTTCTCTTGCCTTATAATTTTTCTCTGCCGAATCAATATACCCCACGAATGCCGGGTACTGAAATAGTAATTATCTTCTTGGGAATATAGAACATTTCTTTCTCCGTACACTTAAAAGCCGAGCTTGGCGCAGACGACAATTTAGTAGCTACGAGACGTCGGTGAGCATTGCGCTCGCATCTTAATCCGACCTCACTCTCAGTTAAATTAGAGCGAAATGCACTTGACATCCACGCTGATTGGCCTCCTTATCGTCGGTCTGGGAATCGAGCTACCCACTCCCACCGTCGCCCAGTTCTGGATGTCGGTTGATCCTATCTCCAGGTGGCGAAGTGAGACCCTGGCCCAAAGACCCTCCGGAATATGCTACAAGACTCGCACGTAGGTAAACCTATCGGTTCGCCAGGCCAAGCTCAAGATCTACTCCTTTTCAGTGTGGATACCGTCAATCCGAATTCTAGGATCCGACAGATCTCTTACTGCTGCGATGGCTATGTGAATGAAGGGACTACCCAGATCTTGAAGTGTGTACCCATCTGCAGGGAGGACTGCTCGAATGGGTTGTGCGTCACGCCCGGCGATTGCGAATGTGCTCCAGGATACTTCCGGAAAAACGGAAAGTGTCGTTATGAGTTGGATGATAAGGAATAAATAAATATTTGATGATTAAAATCCATACGATCTTAGCTCAATATTTATTCGTTGATCGAATCAAAGTTAAAGATCATATTGGATGGGTGGAAATCGCAACATTAAACAAATTAATGGGACATAAATTATAGAAGAAAGATTGTATTTAATATATAATAAAATATAATAATTGTTCATCAATCCTATATTTTTTGTCAAAAGTCGTTGTATTTATTTCTTAGAAAGCGTCGTGAGTTGTTTACATGTTTTGCGACTTCACAGCTTGTCTTTCATCCGGTCAACAGCTCTCACGAGTACCTGAAGTCATCGCTATACGCCAAACTTTTCTTGGAATTACCCAAAAGCAATGAATTTTGTTTACGAGCGGCAAGTTATAGAAGCGATCAATGGCTCTGCCCGCAAGCTGCTGAGAGCAAACCTTCGCTCCGTTTGCCCCATTGATAGGTCCAGCGACGAGGTGCTGATTAGGAGGGGGGCAAGAGGTCGCCGGAGGCGATTGGCGACGGAGAGATCCGCAGCTTGGCATCGGGAACCGATTAGTCGAAGTGCAACTACAGCCGCCAGCGGACGTGGACGTGGGCGCTGAATAAACTTTCATAAGCAATCCGTATTCAAGTGACATCACCATGAGGTCATCGTGTCAGCTGTTGACCCTGGCTGTTCTGCTGGCCATCTGCTGTTTGGTCCAGGGACAATTCAAGACCTCCGGCATCAAGACGCGACAGCCGCCATCGGGAAACCTCCAGCTTGCTGGAAACAGTAGTGAGTTCACCCAGAGCGGCTTCGAATGGAGCAGCTACAACGAGAGCAACTATGGCTGGAACAGCCAGAACCATGTGGGCCAGGAATCCAGAGGATATGTGCCTGCCGAGACATACCAACCCTCCACCCTGCCTCCACTTTATGGACACTATGTGCAGGCGGTGACTCCGCCGGCTCATCGGGCCCAAGTCCTCGACGAAACGGCCCTGTTCATCAACAAAACCCGATCTGGAATGGCCAGCGGGGTGTGCTTCAAGGATGTTCCGTAAGTGGCGTGGTTAAGCCAATCCCAATCCCAATCGAGTGAAAAACAATTTTATAATGCCACTAAAAGTTATCGCCCAATTCGGAAAACATTCGAAAACAAGGCAAACAATTAAAATAGTGAACTAACGACCTTAACTTCCTCTGCTGGCCTGATAATTAAATGCGCCTTGATTTTACAAGTACATATATGTATGTATGCCAAGCTAATAATGTGAATGAATTTAATATGCAAGTTCGTAGATAAGCTGGAAGTTTGTGCTATTAAAGTTTTTTAAGGAAAATATTTGGTTCCGTTCTCGAGAATATGTAAGCTTACATAATAATGTCTCAGGCTCAACAACATGACATACCTACCTCTCAAGCAATATTATAATGCCTCTTTATTTGCAAATTTCCATATTGTTATGAAAACATTCTAACTAAAAGAAACATTCTTATGTCAATTTAAGTTTATATTTATATGAATTATATTTCAAAAGGAGTGTGTCTCTTAAGAGTGTTTTTAATAATCTTACTCAACACTAACCAAAAACATTAGTATTCAATTTTAAGAAAATTGTATAATATTTAATTTATTCAATTCCAGAACCGCCTCGCTCCTCCGCAGCTCCCGGGATAAGTTTGTGGGCAACGGGACCACTCCGGACATGAGTCGCATCCAAGTTTGCTGCGAGGGCTACGAGCGGAACCCGCACATTTACCGCCGCTGCGAGCCGATTTGCGCCGATGATTGCCACAACGGAATCTGCACGGCTCCGAACACCTGTGTTTGCATCCCTGGTCATGTTCGTACCTCCGAGGGCAAGTGCATCTCCACCTGCCCCCTGGGCTGTGGCAATGGGGTGTGCGATGACAGGAACGAGTGCAAGTGTCGCGAGGGATATTCCCTGGAGCCGGAGAGCCGTAAGTACTGCCAGCCGGAGTGCAATCCTGGCTGCTCCTTCGGACGCTGTGTGGCGCCCAACAAGTGCGCCTGCCTCGAGGGATACCGCCTGGCCGCCGACGGATCCTGCGAACCGGTCTGCGGCAGCTGCGAGAACGGCAGGTGCACGGCTCCAGGGCACTGCAACTGCAACGGCGGCTACCTCAAGCTCCAAGGTCGCTGTGAGCCCATCTGCTCCATGTAAGTACATCGAATGGGGCTTGGTTATTTACCTGGGAACCATTAGGACCAATATTCTTTTTTTAACATTAAATACTAAAGCAACAATACTCAATCATTATTACATCATTATCACATATCATTAACATCAATAATGCCTTGAGAAACATAAGAAATGTGACCCTATAGATTCTTTCTTAAAATCATGTAAGTGTCTTTTGAACACGCTGAAAAAAGGAGCTCAGAGCCTTCTCTGGATCTCAAAATTGATACGAGATCAATTCAATTCTCAAAATATGGAATTTTTGAGACTTTTTTATCTTCAAGAGTTCTTTCGTCTTGATTTCAAGAACGTATGTTTATAGTTCGTTCTTTGTTTAATCATTCTCTAACTAGAAGAATATTACTAAACTGACTAATTGTATAACCCTCTGCACCATTTTAGACCCTGCAAGAACGGACGCTGCATTGGCCCGGACATCTGTGAGTGCACTTCCGGCTTCGAGTGGGACCGGAAATCGGGCGAGTGTCTGCCGAAGTGTGACATGCCTTGCCTCAACGGCATATGTGTGGGCAACAACCAGTGCGAGTGCAAGACAGGATATGTGAAGGACGAGCACCAGCGGAACATCTGCCAGCCCCACTGCCCCCAGGGATGCCTGAATGGCTTCTGCAGTGCCCCCAATTTTTGCATCTGCAGGCCGGGCTTCATCAAGAGCGGCATCAAGGGACGCCAGACCTGCCAAGCAGTCTAAGTTGGACCTGAAATTTTTATTGTTTCCTTTAAGATCAAAAATCAAATAGACGTCCGATCAGGGCATTGAACTCGTAGGCCAGCTGTTGATTAAAGTGCTTTCTCTTTTCGCTGGTGTAGAGTTGCTGGCTGAGGTGCTCGGGCTTCAAACAGCGATCGATGAAGTGCGTCTGCCCCGCAGGACAACTGCAGTGCTCCACATCGTCGCAGCTTCCATTCCGGCAATGCTGTTGCCCCTGACCACAGCCGCAGATCTCGGGGGCCACACACCGACCGTACTTGCCACAGGATCTGTATAGTAAGTAGAGTGGTAGGAGCGTGGGAAACTATAACTCTGGAACACAAACCTCTCACACTTGGGCCGACATTCGGCACCGTGGGCCTCGTAGCCTCCAAAGCAGCGACAAACTCCAGGTGCAATGCACACCCCGTTCCCTTGGCCACAATTGTCGGTGCACTCGGGCAAACAACTCGTGGTGTTCTCGTTGTAGCGATATCCCTCCCGGCAGTGGCACTTGTACCTTGACTCACAGAACCCGTTCTCGCAATTTCTATAGGGGATCGGAAAAAGGATAAGTGTATTAATGGCATATTTTGACAACAGTCTTTTAAGACCTTAAATACTGTTACAGTAATTATGCTATGCCTATTTCATGAAATCATTTCATAAAATGAACAAAATCTTGTGTGTATAAACATGAATTCGATAACACACGAAAATGGAATATACTCGTAAATTCTGAACCAGGCATGAAATACTGAGGCACACTTTACTTGACAGCATACTACTCCACAGAGCTCTATTTCAATTTCAAATAATTTGGCATTCCTGTTGTATAAGCAGGTGCTGAAAATGTGTTTGAAAATGCATGAAATTCATAGCACAAACATAAAATATAAGGGCTTAATTAATTCAAAACTTGAAATCTCTAAAAAAAATGAAATGATTTAACATGATTTAACATTAACGTGATTAACATGATTTTTTAAAATTTGTAATAACCACAATATTAAACTATTTTTTAACTTACTAATCTGAATTCTTTTATTACCGGATGACACTTAAATAATTTCGCCTATCTCACTAAATCTATTAACAATTTCAACAATATTTTTTAATTTATACAGAGGTATACTATGTGTTGCTATGACTACTTTGATAAATCTATTCAGTAATTCCTAACTTATTTTATTTACAATATTATGGCAAATATTAAAAAAAAGGGTCTACAAATCAGCAACGTTTTCGAACTTGTGTTTATGCTTTGGGTTTTCATGTCTTTCTTAAATAAACCTATTCAGTTATTCGACATAAATGTCAACTAATGTGTGACTTATTATTATGGATATTTTTTACATTAGAACAATTTTATAAAATACTAAATGCTATACTTACATATTGAAAAACATTCATTTTCAACTTGTTTAATTTCTAAAATTGAGTAAATGATAAAAGCTTTAGACTCACAAGTAGCACTCAGCTTCGCAGACATTCCGGTTCGGTCTTTTAATGAATCCTGCGAAACACTCGCACTGGTTGGGCGCCACGCACTTGCCGAATCCGCAGTCCGGAGCGCAGACGGGTTGACATCCCAGATCCACCGTCCTCCGGTATCCGGGGGAGCAGTCGCACTGCCCGGGAGCCACACACTCCTCGTGGGTGCCACAGGACTGGGAGCACTGCGGACGGCAGAACTGCCGCGTGTCCTGGTCCAGGACAAAACCCTGATGGCAGGCACAGGTGCCATTCAGATAACACCTGCCGTTCTGACAAGCAATCGGACAGGTGTGGATGCAGGCGCCATACTCGTTGCGGACAAACTCGGCGAAGCACTCGCAGTTTCCCGGACTACGGCAAAATCCATTTCGGCAATTGTCCGGAGAAGATTCGGAGCAATCCGGAACACAATCCTTGGAGTACACATCTCGACGGTAGCCCACGCAACAGACCTCTATGCGATGGTAGTATATCGTCGAACCATTGCCGCGCACCGGGGAATCCTTCTCGGTTTGGAAAAACACAGTTCTGTAATCGGGTAATCTCATAAATCTAAGGGCTTCCCCGTGAAATGATCGATATCAACTCAAATTATTTCAATGTCATTTAATTTTTGTTTGTTTTAAATGTTTAATTATTAATATGGTGGTCAACAAAACTGAGTTTAAGGCAAAGGGTGCGCCCACTCTTTTGCTTAATGTTTGTAAAGCCGAAATTCCCACTAAATTTTTTTTGTTCCAGACTCAGAAAAAATTCATTAAATTAACATCATATTAAGAAGACGAATTTGTCTTTCTACACAATTATACACCTTGTTAACTTTTCTTGACAGTAACAACAAAAGCCGTGGAATATTTAGATTTATATCAGTCATTTTAAAAAAAAATTGTGTTTATGGTATTCATCCCTTAAAAAAAAATATACTCATTATAATCAAAACTATACTGTACTCACGGCACCTCGCGATGACAAAGATGTTGCTGGCGCTCGCGGGTTTGACTTAGGGACTCAAAATCGCCGTATTCCGAATTCTCTATATCCCCGTAAAGCTCCGTGGAAGCGGCCACAATCAGGCCAGGAAATGCCACCAGCAGAGCGGTAAGCACGGCCAACGGACCACTAAGTTGCATCCCGCCTTATTGTTCTGAGCTTCGATGTCGAAGAGCGAATGAATGAGCTGCCCTCCGAATGGGATGTACTTATTTATAAAGCCTCTCTTATCAGCATCGGCTCTCATTCTCGGAAGTCAAAAGCACTCCAGAGAAAATCTAAATTTAAGCTACAATCATTTCGCCCCATTCAAACATTTTAAGTAATAATGGTATTTATAATAATAAGTCGAATTAAGTCCTTCAAGTTTTAAAGTATTTATTTTTTATTAGCTACCAAATAGATGTAGTTTATTTATACATTAACCTTTTATTAAAATAGTTACTTAAATATTAATAAAATTTATTTATTTTACTTAACTGGATGAATATTTTGTATCCAGTTCTTATCGGTAGTGATTCCCTATGTGTAGTTTTAAAAATTGTGGTAGTGTCGAACCCAAATCAGTTGCGTTTCTCACAGGTCAGTTTTCTTTCTTCATACAGTGAGTCAACAACAAATCAAAAATCGATTCATAGAGAAGTGAATTTGGTAAAATTATTGTTATGACTTGCGATCATATTTGAGACTGCATCGAAATAGTCCCAGAGTCTAAAATAACAAACGGTTTACCCATTGGTTTATCGTTGATAGATGGATAAAGTTGGACTGACAGGACTCAGCTCTGAAATTGCGACATTTTCTCTTAATAATCCAAATACAAATATAATGTCTTAAAAGGATATTTGAAATATTTTAGGTTAATTTAAATTTAAATCATTATTATTATAAGAGAGATTACCAGAATAAGAACTTATCTAGTAAAAATATATCATAAGCTACGTAACATCTCCTTATATGTACACATTTTATTTTTACTGTCAAAAGTTGTAAGAACAAATGGAGTATATCTGAAAAAGTTGGCACTTAAAAGACAAATGTTTGAAAATATTTGAAAAGATAATTTCATGAATGTCAAGAAAATGTATACTGAATTCCAATTAAGAAATGGATTTGTACAATTAACGTATTATTACCAAAAGTCGGAAATTTGTAATATCTACATCAAAATATTTAAAAGGTTCAAGACCCTTGACTTAATATTTCTGGTCCTCCTCACAGGTGGGCAATTCTTTTGGCAGTGATCTGGGCAGGAACCTGCAAGAAGTTGGAGTTCTGTGGGGGGATTATCAAGTGGGTGACATGGTGCGATCGCTGATGGGGATGATGACCCCCGTTGGAGAACTGTTCACTTGCTGGCATCACCGGCGGCCTGGCTGGCAAAAATGCAGAGGCAGTTGTGGAGTGCTGGACGTGTTGGTGGTTCCGAGAGTGGTGCTGATGATGGAGGTGGTGCTGCTGATGGTACCGGATCTCATCGTACAGATGCGAGTCCAGGCTACCCTTACGAGACTTTGGCGAGACCACCGAGTATAGGGACTCCTTCCTAGCATATGCGTAGGGCGGTGTTTTTATCGAAGAGTTGTTGCTGGGCGTGTCATATAATTCTGGTTGTGCTGTGGGAGAATTTATGAAAAATTATTAATTTTCTTTTTCATTCTAAATTGCTTTTAATTTAGCTTAGTCTGAAAACCTACAATTTTGACTTTACTCATTCCAAATACAAAGAACAATTTTTTAAATGATTATAATTATGAATAATTAATTTCCGTGTCCATATTTTTTAAATATTTAAAGTTATGATAATGTGATAGCTACTTTAAGGTCGGCAGAGACACTTACATACCCTCGTTCGAGTGGGGCGTGACCGCAAAGACCACGGGCGGTTCGGGCAGTGGTTCGTGGAAGTTTTTGCCCAGGGCCGCGGCCTCGGTGAGAACCACCTCCGGATTCGCCGGCAACGTGGACACTGTCCCGTTGGCATTGTAGACGGCTGAGTTCTTGTGGTGATACCTCCGATAAATGTAGAGCGAACCCACCGCAATGGCTATCAGTAGGAGTAGCATAACGCTAACCAGTGTGGTCACCAAACCGGACTGATGATCCGCTGCTGCCGCCTGGCCTGCATTGGAGTTACCTCCAACGAATCCGGCCAGATGTTCCTGCGGCGAGGTGATCCCATTGGTGATGACGTGGATAATTTCCGGAGTGGGTGCCCCGGCGACTGAGGCCGAATGAAGATTCTCGAGCAGCTCAGTGCCCGACTGGTGTACAATGATCTTCGGTGCGGGCTGGGCGTTCTCTTGGTTAACCGGCTGCTTGATTACTATGACCTCAGGCTGGGTGGGGGGTATGGTGGCGCGTGGAATAATACCCATCTTCTCCAGCGTGGAGTTCACAGTCTCCACGATGACATGGCTCACATTCAGCTCCAGCGGATGATCCTGTAGGATGCAGGCACCAGTTTGTGGATTGCAGGGCTTCTCATCGCAATCGCAGGCCTTGCGGCACATAATGCCATGGGTTCCCTTGGGACAGGGCTGTTCGCAACTATACGGTAAAGATATAACATCTATTATAGTGATATTTTCAGAACTATTTAATTATAAGATGCAAGCTAACGACAGTTACTAGCAGTATTCCTTCTAATGGCCGATTTCTCATGTTCAGTTTTGCTAGAAAGTTAAATTGGCGCTTCGGCTGACTAAAACTCCTAACTTAAACTTTGGTCAATCGAGAAAATGAAACTGAATCGTGTAATGTTAGACTCTGTAGAGATTAGTCGTTTCTAAAATTAACAACACATAGAATAACGAATATGTGCATCCAAGCAAACTTTTTCTGACAGACATTGAGAAATCGTCCCTTAACATAAATTTATTGCTTTTAGTTATAAAAAGTTGGGGCTGTAAAAGTACTACTCACAATTGTCCTGTCCAACCGGCTAGGCAGTGACATAGTCCTGATTTGTTGTCGCAGGCTGCTCCATTTTGGCATTGGCAGGGATTCTTGCAGTCCAAGCCCCAGCGATCATGATCACATCCTTTGAAAAGACCTTTGAACCGTGGAAATATTAAAATGTTTCTATATACTCACGTTGTGTGCAATGTTTGCCAACGTAGCCCTCCTCGCAGCTGCAAATGTCGGGCATTACGCAACTGCCACGCCCACAGCCGCCCCGACATATGGGTTTACATGTGGCCTGGCTGTCGGAGAGATTTCCCTCGTAGCCTTGGCAGCAAAAGCGAACAGTTCGCGTCTTGTTCAATTTCTGTAGCAGATATATATAAGTTTTTAGAAATAGAAGCATTTTACTCCAGACTTTTTTTAGTATTACATATAAATTTATTTAACGTCGATCAACCAACTTAATAATACTAATTCCCAACTAATTTTGTATTATTATTAAAAACAGATCGTAGAAAACATGTTTAATGATTAATTAAAATAATTTAATAACAATGAGCTTTTAAACGATCAGAAATTAAGGAGAGCCGAAAAGTATGCCCCACTGTATTAAATCTCGACCCGCTTGCCAAGAAATCTCCGACCTTCCGCAAAATCTCTTTGATCTGGAGGGGGCATCATCGCAAGGGATCAGTAATTGGATAAACTTGTGAAGAGCCCTCGTCTCCATCAACCCTGTCAACGCCTCAGTGTCACTTGCCCCTGTGGCCAGTGGACTTTGGCCCAGCTCTTGACAGTTACAGAATTAAGATGGAGACTATTGTAAGTTGTCGTGCAGATGGGGCAGATGGTCCCGCCCCCAGAAGTACTGGACACACCACCCTCGAATACCCCTTGAGTTGCCAATTTAATTGGATAACTGGATTCCGGGCGAGCTTCTCACACTCATTCCGGTCCCAGATTTTGTCCCAGTCCACATTTCCCGACTTACGCATTGTTCGCCGTCAAGCTGATGGATTCGTATCTGAATGTGTGTATCTGTATCTGTAATCTGCCTGCATGTGTGTCCCCCACACAATTAATAAAGCGGAAATTTTAATATAAACAGTGAAATTCGATTCGAGTTTGGTCTTTTGATTCATTGTGTCTGCATAATTACGGCTGGCTTTTCAAATGTTTGTCACAAAAAGTAATTGAATACAAGTTGAGCAATTTATTGTACATGAGCCACTCGAATAACACACCCCTTCGCTTTGCTTTTCTGTGGTTTCTGCCGTCAATCAGCTGCAATGACAATTTTTTCCTTTGGAAAGCTATCGAAAATCTTTCGGCACTTTTGTGGCTCAAGTTACTGACTCGAACTTCATAAGGCGTTCATGTTAATGTTAATTAATTAAATTAAATTGGTGAATTAGTGGCTACATTTTCTGACCAAAAGCCAAGTCTTGGCCAAGCAGGCGTTGACCAAAATCGTGAGGAATGCGATCGACAGGGTTAGAAAACTGTTGCGGCAACCGGAGAAATATGTTTTTTCAGTGCTCGGGGAGCCGGCCATTTAGGCGATCCTCTGCGAACACCTTCTCAAAAAAGAGCCTCAAGAGCTCCAATTAAAATAATTATGAAATTAATTCGAACCAAGCAGTGAGCGATCTCGACTCGCACAAATCATTAGACACGAAACGGGGAAAAAAATAAACTAAGCCAAAACTGGCTGCCTCTTGTCATGGCGATTGCAACTCGGCTTAGTGATGCAATCGAATGTGTGTCAACAGCTTTGGCATCAAGTCGCCGCACACAAGTGGAGCTCTTAATGCCCCAGCCGATCCACCGATCCAGCGATCCAGCCTTCCAGCCTGGCCATAAGTGCTGGATTTTCCGCTTTTCATTTGCACTTTCCATCACTGACACCATGACATAATTATTTTGCCTACCCCCTGAGCCCACCGAAAAAGTGGCAAAATAAATAAATGAATAGAAAACATAAAAAAACCAGAAGAGCCTGATTAGGCCCCTCGGATCAGGCGACTGCAACCGGATTCTGGCCAGGCTTGGTCAACACTTGGCCGCTGCGGTTGTTTTCCTCGCATTTCCCACTGCGCAGTTCAAAATGGCCAGGCGGCGGGTATTGCCGACTTAATAGTTTGTTTACCTGGCTCGAACAATTGCCCAAAATCAATAATTATTTATTGACACTAATGCGGAATCAGTTATCATCATTTATCAAAGTAGCATTTAAGAAAATGTGATGTAAATGTACTCGTTCTCGTATTTTAAATAAATGAAGGATCGTTAAAATAAACATGACAAATTGATGGATTTTGTAAAATATTGAATGTCATACGCAATAACACAAATCATTACCAATTTTGTCTTTTAGTTTAACATTATTTTTAATCAAAAAATATTTTTTAAAATTTTTTTTTAAATTGTCCTGTAAATTTAATTTATAAAAACGTTCAAGATTTATTATATTAATGACCGTTAATACATGCTACTTTGACTTCTTCATTTTAAAAATATAAAATTTTTTTGCTTTTAATAACATTCAAAATATAAATTTAAATTAGAATATTTTATTTCGTTAATGCATAAATGGTTTTTAAATACCGAATGAAAAAATAAAATTATAGTGATTCTATTAATGGGCGCCCGTTAGTCAAAGCATTTTTTAAAAGCAATGCGTATACGCCGCATGTGCCCAGTAGTTCAAGAAGTTTGGCAGCCAAGGACACACATGGCTGTCATCTCTGAGGCCTGGGGTCAAAACCGGTCGGTGGAATCCCAACCAAGTGAAGTGCATCTGCAGCTCCTGCGGCGAGGCACAGCTGCCACAAATGCCACTCGACTCGGCTTCCGTTCTCCGAAGCAAAAGGACAGGAAGCCCCGCTTAGATTGGAAACCAGAATTGCGCAATGCATCTGGTCGCCGAGAGAACCCAAATAGCGAGCGATATACAATGTATGAGAAACGCAATCAAAGTCGGCCATCGGATCGCGGGCAATTTATGGATATCGTGGTGAGCGGCTTCCTGGTTGGGCAAATCGAAATCAGGTTTATGGTGCAGGCTCCCCCAAGATGGTGGAAAAAGTGGCCACGGCGAAGGTGTTGCCACTGGCTGGGGTTGGGATTGGGATTGGGATTGGGATGACGATGACGCAAGAGATGCCCGCAAAGGCAGAGCCGGCAGTGGAACACCTGCGACCATTTGGAAACTTGGCCATTCGGCCTGCTCCGTGCTCCATGCTCCGGAGGCAGAAGCAAATCGACTCACCTGCACCCGCATCACCTCGCGCATTTCCGTCTTGTAGGTGGCGCACCTCGGCGGGATCTCCATGCACCAACTGGAGGTCCGCACGCGCACCGGCTGCATCTCCGGCACCTGGACATGCTCCACGTAGGGCTCCTCGCGGATGCAGATATTACCCGGTCCCTGGATGGAGGGCAGGGCCACGACCACGTCTTCGATGTCCTTCAGGTTTGTGTTGATTTTCAGGCTGCTGTTTTGTCCGGAACCCAGTGGTATAACAAATACTAAGAGCAGGAAAAGTTTCCCCAGAAACCTTTCTCGTATCATACTTGTCGAATTTTATGTTATTATGCGAGAATTAAAAACGGTTTACTTCATTATCGCTCGATTACGAAATAATTTTAAGCAGTTTAGTAATTAATCATTCTTCAAAACTGTATTATTTTTAAGGACTATGCTTGTAAAGTTCCCAAAATCTTGCTGATAATGGTTATTCCTTGTATAGTCTAGCTTATATCCTAGAACAAATTCGTATATACACTTCACTATCTTATATTCCAATAAGTTGTACTTGGAACGAGGATCTTATCCGTTGACAATTATGATATGATATGCGCTGCGTGTACGATTGGATCGCGAGTCTCGTGAAAACTGTTTCCCCGTTGGCGGCGATTCTGTTACTCACCCCGAATGTTCCTCCTCGAAATAAAGTAAACTACGAAAACAGCAACAAAATACAGTAGTCATTGCAAATTGTCGTCGAGCCAATAAAGGCCGTCCGGGGTGGCGAGGGACTTGAGATCGGAGAGCGGAAGTACGCACTGCACACCCGATTCCACGATTCTACAATTCTACAAAGCGAAAGTGAAATGTAAAGCACCCCGCAAACGGAACGCACGGCGAAGTCTCCACTGCAAGTGAATGAAACGAAACTCCCCAAAGCGATTATGTACGTACTAATGCCCCGTTCCCACCAGCCCCGCGATCATGACGATGATTGCATCTAATTGAAATGTTGATCATGTCCTTAACATGCGGCTGTCATTGCGGGGCAAAAACCCGACCAGGGCTGTTGTTTTCGTAGTCACTTTGTTTTGATTTGACTTGCGCTTTTCTTCAGCTCCAATGGCGTTGATCCGAAACTGAGGAGTAAGTGGATTAACAGAAGTGTGGGAGAATATCAAAAAAATAATACAAGTTGTTAAACGAATGATGTCTCACAACTGAATAAAATTGAATAATAGTTAATCCAATTTACACTGTATTTGGTTTGTTAAGTCACTTACTGAAAATTAATTGGAATATTGGACACCTGTCAGTTAAAGTAAAAATATTATAACTTTATTGATAGTTAACCCCTCTTGAAATATTTTTTATAAATAATACATCACCATTTTTGCACTGCTAAAAAATAGAATGTTAATAATAAATATCTGCATATTGACCAGATATTTCGTTTGGAACATTGAACATATTTCATATCTAAATGAATGTATTAAAAAATATTTGAATATTATAAGTTATAATCAATAAAATTAGTTGAAATAAAAATCGAAAATATTAAATTTACTAAGCTGTAAGTGCAACATTACTTACTCGTATTAAAACTTTCTAACTGCGTAAATTACTCATTTCTAAATCTTTACGAGTTGCTTCTGTTTATATAGATCAGTCTTACTTATCTGGCTTAAGCAAATTCAAACTGCTCTGCTCGATTCACACTTTGCCATTCAAATCGTCTTCATTAAGGTTGATTACAAGTATGCGGAAAGTACGCGGCTCCACCTCCACTCAACTTACTTAGCTAAAGTGTCGTATTTCTTAGCTAAACTTTAGAACAATGCCACCGAGATGACCGTGCCCCACCCGATGATGATGATGCCCCAACCGCCCGAGCGACCCACACAAGTGTTGATTGTCTTGTTTACACCGAAGTCGCTGCTGTTGTTGCTGCTGCAATTTATTAAATCAAATTTATACACAACGAAAAACCAGTTGGCTACTCCACCAGAAACCGCAGACGGGGCAGCAGCTGCAGCTGGGGCACAAAAACAAAAGCACAACTGTGAAATTGCAGCAGGTTTATTTATTTTATTTGATTAAATTGTAAGCAACAACCCAGCCAACAACAAAACCCAACAAATGAGTGAGCAATGTGCGTGCGACGCCGGAGTTCCAATGACCCGCATGGGTTGCACTCACCATCGCACTCGAAGCTGCCCCTCAAAATCCCCCTTCCTGAATTTGATACTGGTTTTGCAAGAGGGGTATGCAAAGAACAATGGTGCATACCAGAATCCTCTGACAGGTTTCAGACTTTAAGATAGAAGTTAGTGATTGCATTCTCATCTTAAGTTGACTGCTTAGTAATTCATTTTTTAATAATTTCTCATCATTTATCATATTATATGTTAACAGATCACAAGGTATCCCCAGTTCGAGCAACCTCCCAATTTTATTTTTCAATTTGTTGCAATTTTTAGGGTGCAGCCAGTCGGGCAATTTGTCAGATTTGCGTTTTTTTTTCGTTTATTTAATTTTAGAATTGTGTGTGTGTATTTTTTGGCATTGATTCAAGTTCAACTTGGTTATAGGTGCGACTTGAATAAGCGGAAGTAGTAAGTGGAACAACATTTTGTCTGACTGTTTGTTTACAGATTCTTAAAATAGGCTTGTGTTCGAAAGAATTTCAAAAGAATTGTAAGCTGAAGTAAGAGTAAAATAGAAATATCAGGGGGTAGAGGTAAGATGATGACCCTGGGCGATTGCCTCCATTGTAGTAACCTCCAAAGATTTGCAGGCCAGCAGTCTCGATGCTGCGTTTGCAGTAGTCGCCATCGTAGTTCCATCCCACATACTCGTTCGTCCTGAGATTCTCCTGACGCAGCCACTCCTCAAGGGGGGCAAAGTATTCCCGCAGGGCGGTGCCATCCAAGCGACCCTCTCTCAGGGTTTCCTCAAGGACCTCTTGCCAGGGCTGGGAGGCGCCCTTCGACATGAGGGTTCTGTGGAAAATAAAATACAAAAGCATGATTTATGAATTGCTCACTACAAATATATGCGATCTTATATGAAAAGGTACTTCTATTGTATGATTTAAATGATATATTAGCTGCAGGTACTTTAAAAATGGTCCATAAATTATTTAAGGAAACATTAAGAATGTGAGAAGGAATTGCATTTATTAATATTTAATAACCAATTGTTATACCGAATTGTTTAACACAATTATTATTATTTTTTTTTTTAGGATTTAAAGAATTCAAGGAAATTTGAGTGTAATAGATATAAAGGCTTTTATGGCTGACTGAACTTAATTGGGTTTTTATTTTACTTAGTTCTTAATAAATATGTGAACTTTTATAGAAAAAAATACTAGAGGAACCACTAAAGACATATAATATTACAAATATATACACCTGTTTATTCGTTATACGTTGTTCTAGCTCAACATAATTACAAATTTCGATTGACTTTTCAAAACTTTTTAATTTTTTGTGACAACTCATTGTCAAAATCTAATGCCAGAAGGGGAAAAGGTTCATAACTATTTTGTTACTAAGGCATTTATTGGCTTATATGTTATATACATGTATTAATAAGGTTTTCAAACCATATTTACCATATCTGCTGAGAAAAACTTACTTGAGAAGATTGCCTGCTGCCGGCTGCCGGTAAATGTCGCATTGGTGCAGGGGCTTCCTCGGATCACCCGGGATGTATTGGCCAGACTCGCGGCACAGGCCTCGGTAGATCTGGAACTGCAGAACCGTGGAGAAAAAGTACCTGCAAGTGGACGGAAACATGGCTTTAATGCAGTGGTCGGCAGCGGCCTATCTAGTGAGCATAGGGAAGTGTTCTGCCCATCCTCTGCTCGCTCACGTATAACGTACATGTTCGTGTGACTTCGGCATGGGTCTTCGGGTCATTTTTTCTCAACTTCGGCGCGCTTTTTTGTTGCTGTGGCAGAGGATCTCAGTGCAAAGCAGAGAAACGTCTCGCTAGAGCACGCCGCGCGCAAACTTCGTGTTTGTTACACTCACACTAATGCAAGGCAAACTTGTGATGATATGTGTGTGCCGACCACTGCTTTAATGCGATCATGGCTTAGAACGGCTGCGGTCACGCTTCTTGGCCGACATAATCGTTGTCAATTGTCGCGGGTGAGAGTTGCTAGTTGAGTCAGTCCGTGTTTTTGGTGTTGGCGGTTGTCAGTTGGATTCAGATTCGGATTCAGAGCTGCAGTCGAGCTGGCCGCTCGTTCGCATTCTGGCTCAAGGTCGAGCTCCAGTTGAAGCCTTAAACTAAAGCAAGTCGCCAGCCGAAGTCGTTCTCTTGCAGTTTCGAAATCATGCAAAAGTCAAGTTTTGTGGTCTTGTAATTGCCATTTGCTTTATGCTCATTTAATCACATTTATGTTTATGGCATTTTTATGGTATTTTTACGGCGGTGGCTGCGCAATCAAGTAGCAATTATTCGAAAGATAATTTCGAATTGGTATTACCCTAAGCAGCTGGATTTCGCTTTTAAAAATCTAAATTTTAATTATATTTATAGGAACTATGTTCATTTTTGTGCAGAGTCACTGTTTATAGATTTATAATCATTATGCAATATGTTGGCAGATTTTTGGGGATTTTTTTAAGCACACAAAACTAGTAATAAGTTGAGGGCCAAGAACAAGTTCAACTAATGGATTTCTTAATGAGCGGGAAGAGCCGATAATTTGTTTTCGACCTTCTGCTTGGGGATTCCCGAAAAGAAGATCTATAGAGACTATTGAACTGGAGCTCTTAGGTTGTTTACGTATGGCTCCCAGTGAGAAGAGAATGTTGCAAGTGGGGGCTAGGAAAAAAAGGCATTTTTAATGCTCACTTTTCACAATGTTCGATCACGGCTGCAAAACTCCCAGACGTAGAAACAACGTGCCCCATGCACCATTAAGTGCATCGGCTTCAGCCACATTGGCAAGAGCAACTGCAACTGCAACTGGCAACTACTTGGCCTGGTGGCTCAGTGCCTTAGTGGCTCAGTGGCTCAGTGGCTCCGGTGGTGTGTTATGTTTTTGGCACTTGGCAGCGGTTGCCACATTGCCACATCGTCGCCACATTTTCCCAGAGACGCCACATGACCCAATAACAGGGATTAGGCAGCTGCCTCGTCGACTTGGTGTGGCGGTGTTGCTCCTACCGTTGCTGTTGGCTGTCTCAACGCTTGCCATTCGTTCGTTCAATCATTCAATCAAACACTCGGCCACTCTGGCAGTCTTTGGTCCAGTCAATCAGAGCCAACATTGTCGGCAATTAGTCCAATTTTTGTTGCTGCCACTGCAGCAGCACCAGCAGCAGCAGCACCACCAGCCGCTTTGTGCTAAAATTAAATGTTGCGAAAATTCTTTTCAACGTCTGGGGGACATGGAACATGTGTTTCATGAAAAATATGCGAAAAATCTTTAATTTCACGGAGACCACAAAGCGAGTACGATTATTCAACGGCCGCGGGGCGTATGAACGATGTCGTTTATGCGATCGCCGCTAATGATCGGTTTTTCGATTTTCGGGTTCTCGTCTCGTTGCCGAGCCATTCATTTTCGGCCAATTGCTGAATGGACCGGCCAGCTGAGCCATGCCATCGATGGCTATTTTCCCCCAAGTCTCTGGCAATCGATGGCAATTGACATTTCTGCATTTGTCTGCTGCTTTTGCGGACAATCAAAAGACTTGAGCCGCAAACTTCTTGCACAATGCCGGTTTTCTTGGGGATTTGCGACCGAAGGCATCGGCCAAAGGCCAGATGGGAGCTCAAGGAAAGCGAATGGGGGGAAATTTAATTCTACTGCCTTTTGAAAGCCCGCTGCTTACCCACACAAATGAATCTGGTACTCTAGTTCTCTGTAAATGGTGTGCTTATAGATTACTCGTTTTAGCTTATAATTTAATTCAAACTCGATTCTTCCAACAGATGTGAATGTCACTTGTTGAGGTCACAGTGGGTTAGTGCTGTCTCGGATCGCTTTTGGCTTAGTCGGCTGCCGTTTTCTAGACAGTAGCTGCTAGCCATGCCCCTAAAGTGGTTCAATGTCCATGACTGACTGACTGATTGACTGGCGGACCCATGAATGCATTCAATCGTTTCGCGAATACTTTTCAGACCGCCTCAAATTATTGTGCGGCCAGTAATTTGCTGCTAATGTTGTTACTCTTAGGGCAGAAATGTCACTTCTTCTTGTTTCGCTTGACAAAGCAAAAATTGCTTGAGACTTACACATTTTTGGGGTTTCTTTTTGTTTTACCGCCGACCTTGACTTTCATGCCCATGTTCATCGGGTGGAAACGGGTCGGGTTTTGTAATGGAACAGTGGGGGAATCCGAGAGCAATATCAATTAATTATAACACACCGAGTTCATGACTTCCAAGCTCAAATTTGTAGCTAAGATTTTTGGGTCAGGTGGATTTAATGTTGTGATTTTTCCCACATTGAGTTGGTAGGAAAGATTTATTAGAGTTTTTATAAAATAAACTAATTACATCAGCAAAAAAACATCTATTCAGATTTGTTTATAATTTGTTAATTTTTTCTAATGTCTTGTATTATTTAAGTTAAGCCAATTATTAATAAATTTACTTAGTCATAGCTTAAAAAACACACATACATTTAACTACTTTTTCAATTTGATTTTTAAAATGTTTTAAATGTTAAAAAAATTACAGCTAACAAAGCAGCCAGGGCTATCAACTATACAGCTATTAGTCATCAGTGTTTTCTTTTTGATACTTTACATAGGCCCAATTATTTTTACGAACATATGAACTATTATTTTGGATTATTATAAGGAAATATAAGCTTCCTCCTTGTGTTTTATCTTAACTCTGCACTTATGACAAATTGCTTCCATTAAGAAATCACTTTAATATTTACCCCACACCCACGGCACCGGACTAATTCGCAACTTTTAGATTTATTTAAATGTTACCGAAATTTATGCGCATTTGTAATGTGCATTTTGCTGTAAACAAAAAATGAACCGAGGCAAAAACTGGTTACTTGTCGGAAATCATTTAGGCTTTTCACTTGATATGTCAAAATGCCAAAAGTTTGCACAGAAAACGTGGCCAGCCGATCCGATCCTATGCGAAGCCAATGGCCGGGCATCAGGCATACGCCCTGTTGGCCACGCCACTCTCTTGGCCCGGCCAGCAAATCATTTAAGCGCCATGGGCGTGTGGCCTAAACAAACTAAGGCGACCACGACAACGAATGGCCAACAGCTTCCTTCAAAAGATCGCCACTCAGATGGCTTAGTTTTTGTATTTGTTATTTTTCGCGTTGACGGTTTTTTTTCTCCTCTCGTTTAGAAACATTGCGGATGCAGTCGATCCAAGTGGGCAAGAAGTCGGTCCGGTTTTTGTCTTGGCCATAAATAGAGTTCGAGTTGATGTCTATGTGGATGTGGATGGCGATTCAGTACGTTGCACAATGCACTTTCAGTTTCAGTTTCGGATTCCGATTCCGATTTCAACTCCAATTCCGATCCGTTCGCGGCAGCACATTGCTCATTTTCCAGATACGACAATATCCAGTGCTCCACCGTAATTCCACTCTTAATTGTATCATTATTTATTGTTCTAGATCCGCTTTTTGGAACCTAATTAGCATTTAATTCGCGATCACTTTTGTTTGTGTCTCGATTGTCTCGGATCGCTAGATCCGTGCGCATAAATCAATAATCTAGTGAACCCAATCGCCAGACAATCCACTCGAGGCAACCAAGACTCGTGGCAGCGAACTTGATCTAATTCCTTTCCGAATCGCCATAAAAGCGGTTATGTTTGCAGTAATGATTATTTTTACTTTTTATCATCTTACGTTATTTTTTTAAGTTTGCTTGTTGGCAATAAGTGGTAAAAAAAATCGTTGTAGTTTGGCAGGGTAGTCAAAATGAAGCGGTATAAAAAGTGATCAGTTTGCGCTGTCAGCTCGTAACTTTTATGATGATGGAAGTTCGGACATGCGACGAGGATCGCCAAAATGTTGAGGTCAAACGGAATGATCGTAAATGAAAAATGTACGTTTTGCCATTTACTTCAGTGACTACTATTATTTAATATCAAAATTCCAATGAAGAACCTACCAAAAAACAATGTTATTTCTGCATAATGGCCAATTTTGTTACACATCAGTTTCCTCTGTTAGTCATCGTATGGCAGACTCAAATTTCCCAGGCCGTTTTCCTACTGCAACCTGCAGCCCGACACGCTTACAATTGTGTGAATAATCGCATGACAGTCGGCGTGAGTGACTGAGGATTGTGGCCCTAATAAGCCTAATTATTATTTGGCTAATTTGGGGCCTCTTTGGCATACTCGCAGGCCAACTAGCTTGGCCAAAACTCTAGAAAACAGACCGCAACAGCGAGCACAAGAGTCACAACAACCGAACATTAACACACTCCGAACAATTGGCCATAAATCAGCAGGCGGCAAATGCAAAGGGGGGCTTGCAAGGGGGTTTCAAAGGGGCCTCCGGTACACTGGGCTAACTGCAGTTATTGTTGTCGTTATAATCAATGAATTACGTCGCATCGGTTGACCACAATTTATGGCGACTTCGAACATGAGAATCCGCACAGCGTCTAAAATGCAAACTGAGAAACCGAAGCCGAAATGCAACTACAGCAGCCTGCAAACTGGATGGAATATCGGGGGAATGGGGGTCAATCGCATGGCTTTGATGTTGCAACCGCAACATGCCACGCCCCTCTCTCTTTCTCCCTTCACCCAAATAC